AAGGTTCAATTCTGGCAATTTTTAGGGCTATTATGCAAGGGAATGGAAGCGTGGGAATAGAAGCTGGACACTGCTATGGTGTACATGTACCAATGAAAAAAAGTTTAAAAAATACCGCGCACCAGGAAAAGGGTCTTTTCATGCTTTTGAGGGCAATATTGAAAATACACAAATCCTTTCAACAACATGTTTTGAGGATGCCTGTACATGGTATTACAGAAAACTACAATATTTACGGACAATCTCAGCGACAGCAAACACTGGCAGTGCATATTTGGATGTGGAATTAATTTTTTTTCATGTAGCTTTAACAGCATCACATACATTTTTATTAAGCGGTTATGAACCTACTTTGTTGGGTGGGGAGAAATTGGGCAGTAGTTCACTGTGATTGTCCCCGTTGTCACTGATGCAAAACTCTCCTGCAGACCTTCATTAGGAACTAAGAAATGGCAAATGATACAGCAGTGTAAAATTGGCCAGCTGCAGGACATTTTGAATGAGGAGAATTAGTGAAAATGTACTAGAGAAAAAGAGTGCAGGCAAGGGATTTAGAAACAGCAGCTGACACAGCAGTGTTAAATTGGCAAAATGGTAAATAGCAAGTCTAGACCTAAATTTAACAGAGCAAAAAGAGCACAGACTGGGGCTATACCACAGGATTTAGGCCACAGTAGAGGATGCAGCAATGTAAAATTGGGCAGTAGTTGTACAATTTTAATCAGGGGTAGTAGGCCAAAATTACTACAGTCATGTGTTTTTTTTTTTACCACAAGATTTAAGAGACCTTAGATAATATCATAAAATTGGCCAGCAGCAGTACAGTTTTATTTATGGATTTTAGGCCTAACTGGTGTATGCCCAATTTATATTTTATCTATGGGGATAAGCAGTAGTGATGAGCCAAACACCCCCCTGTTCTGTTCGAATTCGAACTTTAGAACATGGGAAAAGTTTGAATTCGAACTTGAACTCAATGCAAGTCTTTAGGGGTAGAACCTAAAAATCAAATGTCCCCATTTTGAAGCCTTACATGCAATTTATTGGCCATAAAAAGTGTATGGGGATTCGGGTAATGCCCTGGGAGACATGAATCAAAAAACAACTTTTGTCCCCCTTCCAAACAATACCTGACCCAGTCTGGTTGGAATGTTAGGAGTTACCCAATTAAAAGAAAAGAAAACAAAAGTGTGGGGTTCCCCCCAAAAGTCATATCAGACCCTTAAGGTTTGGTAGGAATTTTAGGAGGGACCCCATGTAAAAAAAAAAAAAGTGTGTGGAGTTCTACCTCAAAGTCATACCAGGCGGAGGAACCCCACCTCCACAAATGGGGGGGGGGAACGTGGGGTCCCCCCTAAAATTCCCAACCAGACCCTTGTCCCACTGCCATTCTGTCCGCTCTCGATGAACTCCCGCCGAATAATGTCATTTTGACAGATGCTGGCAACATATAAACAATTGGGTGAAGCTAGCGGTGACAGCTAGCTCTGCCCAGTTAACCATTGTAGCGTGAGGGTTGCAGTGCGAGGGTAGCCCCAATGCAAGGGTATTTTTTTTTAACCTGGAGATAGGCTTTAATATCTATCACACAACAAAAACCAACTTACACAGACTCTTGGAATTGATAATGAGAGATACATGCGTAGAAGATTTCAATATTTAATCCCAAGAAATAGTATACGTTTAAACTTAGGCATATTATTCATGCTCCGTATTCTCAATTGTATTTGAGTTTCGTAATAAGAAATAAAACATAAAACACAGGCAATAGGTAAGACAGTTCAATTTATATTGAAGGTTACAAGCCTTGAAGTGTTTAAAATGAAATCCCAGGAAATAGGTTTTTGTTTCTGTCTGTTAAAACTTGCAGCACTTCTTTGTCAGTGCACTCTCCACCCAGGTGTACAAGATAATCTGTGTTCTGCACCTTCAAATACACACTTACCAGAAATGTAGACCTCAAGGCATTCACAGAGGTCAATGAATGCTTTGGTAAGTCAGTCCTGTGAAGTATTCACCTGTGTCTCCAGCACTTAATAGCAGCAGTGCACCCAAGGATGATGATGTTGCTTGCAAAAATGTGGTTACATGCAAAATACGTAACTGCAGATAGCACAAGAATCATTCTAAAAGGTTTACTAAACTATTACAATTCAGAAACGTTTAAAATGGTACAAACAATTATGGATCCCAGTGTTGTAATTCCTAGTAGTCATAAAAGCAAAGTAAAATGGAATGATGTCTCTCACGCAGACTTCTACCAACATGTTTCACCCGGTAGGGCTTCGTTAGGGGCCTGTCATTCCATTTAACCTCAAGTCGGGACACCCCCTAAAAGCATAATCATTTACATAATGGCATTTACATGCATTGCATCACAGAGTGACAGAGAAATACTTAGTGTGCTGCCTTTCATTTCATTGTTCAATCACAGTGTGTGGGTTTGAAGAAAACCTGTAGATGTTTCTGAACTGCAGCAGAGAAGCACTGTCTGGTACTGTGATAAGGCAGTAGATGACACTGGGAGATCTAGTTCTAGCAGAGAAAGGATGTCACAGGTAGCCCAGTGGAGTAGCCTGATTGCAGACAGGTGGGTTTTGCTCTCAAAGGGTTCTGCAGCAGTCAGGGCTCCTGTGTGGACCTAGTACTCCTGGGGCAGCAGTTGAAGTGGGCACCCCGTGAGTGGGTGTAAAAAGCCAAGGCCATTATGTGCAGGCCAAGGCTTCTGCTGAGCCAACATCACAAGTGGTACTAAAGGAATCCGACAGTAGAACGCACAAACTGTATGTGTCCAGACCTCTCTGGCCTAAACATACAGACTGCAAACCTGACTGATGTCTGTAAATGACTGATAGAGTCACATAAGGCTGTTCTGGAACAGGCTGAGCCAGAGCAGACCAGCAATGTAGTTAAATAGCAAGGAGGCTGGAATATCACTGTCTTGTGTTAATTGAAATACCCGCTATGAGGAAAATCTAATATCTGGCTTCTGTGATGAATACATGTAGGCTAGAAGCCCTAAAACACACCCTACCGAGTGGACTTAGGGCCCATTCACACCAGCAGCTGGTTTAGAACGCAGCCAGTGGTGTACTCTATCTGGAAACAGCACATCACACTATAACTTTCTTTTTTTTTTGGTAGAACTTTATTGACATTTCATTTAGTTCTGTCGGCCTCAGCATAGTGCACATTGGTGAATTGCATCACACCAAGCTGAGCTCAAAAAAAAATACTGCATGCATCCAACGGGGTGGTGTGAACGGAGTCAATTATAAACAAGGCAAGGACTGTGCTGGGCAGCCAGCTGGTGTGAATGAACACTTAGGATTCCTTTTAAATCTCTCTATTTGATGTAGATTCTTTTCATAATATGTAGAAATATATCTTCCCTATTATTATTTAGCACATAGAAATAATTCATAAATAAAACATTGCAGGAAACACATGATAGCCTTGGTTTTTCTCAGCTGTGTACTCAAAAATGTAAGAATGACCCATGGTCATGGATATTCGGTAATGCAAGTATTGCTGCACTGATTGGGGAATAGGCTAAACACAGAAAGCCAGCTAAAATGAATAAAAGAATTCACAAGAAAAGCTTTCACTTACAACTCATCAACTCATAAGTGTTTACTGTGCAGCAGGTCATGGGTCAACATTTTCAATATAAACCTTCCTCTCTAGGTTGCCCTCTTTCATTGAGCTTTGCCTAGTTACTTGTCCTGTCAATTATTCATCTAGCGGTAAAGTACCAGAAATGTAGACATAAACATGGCCATTCTTCTACGCTCACTTCTCTCTTTTAGTGTAGTATTATTTCAGCAAGATTCAGCTTACAGTGTTGAAACAAGAAGTCCTACTATTTTTTTATCTTTTAGCTTGTACAACTTTTATTGATTAAAATGCCATGCTATTTGTCACCAGCCAGTGACAATAAGTTGAACTATGAAATAGTCAGAAAATATCATATGGTCTAAAACTAAAAGTAGGTGCCCACTGCCCAGAAGGGCCTGCATATACGACTATTAAAGTATATGTAAATCCATATACTAGAATCTCAGCCACTATGTGGTAATTTCTTAATTTATTCCGCAGTGTCTGCAGACGAGCACAAGTAATTTTGTGGCTTAGGCCCTCTTTTGGCTTTTGGTGCAGATGCTCCAGACAGTTACATTTACTAAGGCCTAGGGTTAATTTAGTGGTAGGGGTTGCTTAAGAGCTAATTTATATAGTTATTTTGAGTTTTTTTGGGGTTAAAGTTTTGGGTTAGAGTTTTAAATGGCTAGTGAAGAGTTATTGAGGCAGATTTAAGTATACGTAAACCTAGTCACTAAAATCTTTAACCCGGTAATGTAATTACAAAATGTCAGTCTTTTTAAGTCAGAAAATAATTCCTACTGATCCTACCATGAAGATCCTTTTATAGGCAATTCTTGTTATAGGGTGACCAATATCTGTCCCTGTCTCCGGGTTATTTTCCTGTGTTGTCATCCTGTCGCACACACTTTTAATGGAGACTACAAGTGGCTGTGCCAAAGCACCTTGCACTGGCATTGTCCACTATTGTCACCATTAGGAAACCCTATCTGAAAAATGACTGGAGTGCATGCATATAAACAGTCAACATGTAAAGCTTACCATGTCCTCAGTTAAAATGCAGTGTGTTATTAGTACTTTATATTTATAAGACTTTACTATGCTCATTAACGTGTCTTTATACTATGCACCTTATATATTTACCATTTCAGTATGCATCACTGCTATTTTCTGTCTTTGAACTTGGTACTTTTTTCTGGGAAAAAAGGGATCAATATAACATGTGATGTCAATAAAAAAAACTTATACAAAGTAGTTAATAGTTCCTATATGTTCCTTTTATGGTCTTATAAATATATAGATAGACATGACACAATAAAACATTGCTGGCGACAATAGACATATTGACCTTTACCAACTCTAACTAATGTATAATTCTAACCCCTCTTGTGTTTCTCTAGAATTTCCATACCGATTCCCACTGGCAGCCATACCTACATTTTCTAAATGAAGAGGATATTCAGTATGACAGACAGATCCGGCCTGGTTATTCACCCAAAAGATATCTTACTCGTCTTCTCCAGACGTGGGATCCAAACTACCTTTACAAATTGCAACAAGCAGGTTAGCTTTGAAAAACATTTTTGCTAATCATGAAGGAAAGTTCTTAAAGGACCCCTATGTTGAAAAGTGTAGCATTCTGATAACTATAATAATAGCATTCAGTACATGAAGTCCTTTCCTTTATATCACATCCTTTTATAGTTTGCCCCAATCCCTGTCATTGTCACTTCATTGAACAACTTGGTAAAAGTAAACTTGTAAGTGGAGGAAAATATAAATACAGGTATGCAGAATAAAAAAAGAAATTAATATTCTGAATAACAGCAGCATTAGTTGTATTACCTCATACAGTTATCAGAATACATAATACCACATACAAATCAGAATACATACATGTATTGGATTAACTGCTTCTTTAAGTAAAATCATTTTTAATTAAGTAAAATCATTTTTTTAATTAACTGAACAGTATCCTAACAGTATACATTTTTGCTTTTTGTATATCATTTTTATAGCTTCATAGTTTATCTTGCTGTAAAATAATGTTTATAAGAAGCCAGCTGCTAATACTGTTTTACATGCTCAAGATTCATTTGCATTGATGTATATATTTTTATGAGGTGGATTCTATACGTTAGTGGTCACTTTAACACTAGATAATGGATTTTTTACAAGAGGGAACAACAGAGCATACAGAAACACATGATTTTTAACCTGACAGTGAAACTCCCCTGAAGGTAAATACACTGGCTTTGTGATACTGATACCACTGTTCCTATTTGTTGCTCCTTTTTATTTTGTGTAAACAATATTATATGAATGCCTAAAAGGAGCTTTTCACATGCAGACTTGGTGGTCTTTCAGAGAACTTGAAAACATCAGAGAAAATCCCTGGGCAGAACTGTGGCCTGCCATACCAGTTGAGTACGGGGCTCCTAAATGTTGTTGTTTGCATGTATTTTCAGGAAGCCTTAGGGACTCGGTTCAGCTTCAACAACTGACCGGCTATTCAGGAGAGTATAGTGGAAGACATCCAGACTTGTCATCTACTCCCTTGAAGTATCAGCGTCTGCCTGTTTTTACTTACCTTCCCCACTGGACAAATACCAATCCTGTCACAAGTCCAGGTAACTGGAGTGGTTTAAATAAATAACCAGTATGGCTTACACTGCATATAAGAAGGTTTTTTTGTGGTAAACAAAAATTTCATAAAACCAAATGCTGTTGAACTTCAATCTTAATTGAAATTATTTTATACATAATAATAACATTGCCTCCAGTAAAATCATTTTCGGTTCTCCTTAAAGTACAAAATCTTACCCTTGGCTATAGTTTCATTGAAGCTCCCCAATATACCCAAAACATCTGGACTGCGGGGAAAGCAGACATACCCTTCTCTTCATCCAGTACCTCAGTAAACTGTCATCGGGCCTGAGCAATGTCAGATGGAGGGCATGACTATGCCTAGGCAAATACAGACTTTCAGAAACTTTAGAATCTGTGGGCAGGGACAACACTTGTCAAGAGGATGCCAAAGAAGATAAAGGTAAGATTGGTGGCTGGCCCAGGGTAGGCACATGATTGTGGGAAACAGTACTCTGCCAAACAGAGTGGCTGGGTAGAGGACAGAGGTGGCTCAGAATGGCAACATTAAAATTAACTTCTCACTTAAATTCACCCGAAAAATAGTATACTGTATTTTCAAACAAAGGGCACTTATGTTATTTTCTACCTACCTGAGCTAAACTAACCTACCTGGTCCAGATGCATATGTGTTGAGAAATCGCAGCCACAGCCTCCGGTGATGTTTATATCCCACCAGCAGATCTTCAGTGCACTAGCCATGCCTGCAGAGTGGTTTTCCATAGGATTCTCTGGCACCTTCTTGTGTCTTCAGCAGTGTCTCCAGCATCGGGTGATGATCCTACAGAACTCGATGGCAAGGCTGGAAAAATCCCAGAAGCCAGTGCTCATTAAAATTTACAGCTGACGCTGAACTTTTGGAGGTTTTCTCTGTTTGTTGTCAATGGAGCTGGCTCCTATGAAATCCTGCTGGGTGCTTGATTGGACAGTCTGGCCTCTGAATTCCATATTACTTTGTCCCCCCCTGCTCTAGGGGAAGCTACTGCGTAGACTTAGCCAGCACGCTAAAGATCTTCTGAGCGGATGTAAACAACAGTGTTCGCCACAGACGCAATTGACCACTAAAGATCTGCCAAGTATGCACCAAGGGAGGGAAATGGGGGAGGGTTGGAAAATAAGGATAAGTGCATTTTATTTGACAGTGCACCTATTGTTTAGGTCTGCTACAAGCCCAGCATGGTTAATATTATGGTCTGTATCTCGCTCTAATAAAAGTGACATTACAGTCAAAAGGATTTTAAGCTACCGTATATACTCGAGTATAAGCCGTCCCGAATATAAGCCGAGTTACCTAATTTTACCACAAAAAACTGGGAAAAAGTATTGACCCGAATATAAGCCGAGGGTGGGAAATGAGGCAGCTAATGGTAGAATATATACGGTATTTCAAATGGTAATTAAATCACCTAAATCAATGCACTGGTCCTGACTTCCTGTTTTAGAGTGACTCCTTTCTCAAGCAGAGTGCTATGTAAATCAATGCTTTGCTAGGCAATGTATATTTGTTTGATCTGGATTCATTATTAAAAAAAGTTTGCGTTTAATACTACTTTCTGAGCGGAGTATTGGTGACTTTACATATTAGGCTTCATTGCCTTAATGGAAACCTGGACTGAAGTATGTAAGCTGTCATTGGTGACCTCTATTTCTGAACTTGCTAGCTAGCTGCCTGACTGTCATGCTGAATCAGTTACTTTTTTAAAATGAGTGATCTGGAGCAAGACTGCAGATTAGGAGCCACGACTCCTTGTGATTTTCCTGATCTGCATGCTTGTTCTGTGTCAGTGATTCAGAGACAACTGGAGATAGAGACAGCCAGCCAACTATACTTTTAGAAGGAGGTCAGAAATGGCAACATACATATTTCTCTCCCTTTTGGTAGAGAAGGCAGCTGTAAGCATACTGTATTCAATAGGGTTGTAAAAGGTTTACTGTGTCTGCAAATATTTAGCCAAATATTAAGCATGCATCTGTTGGGAAGATATATTTTACAAATGATGTACTTTAAAGTTTCAATGAGGGTCTTTTTAGCACATTTGTCCCCACTAACCATAACTACTTCTGTATGAACTTTGTAAGGAACGTGTATACTATATACAGCAATGTGAGTAAGGCAAATGGAGGAGGTTACGGGTGAGATCTATCTCCTTTCTTTTCCTTTTTTTCTTCTCCTTTTTCCTTACCCGTGCCTCTTTCTGCTACAACTAGAGCTCCAGGAAGCACCAACAGCTGATATGACTAGAGCAATAAAGCATGGGGTGCTTGAGATCGCAGTCTTAACCCCAGATTAATGCTTGAGCCAAGTTATGCATTTCTACATACCTGAATGGATCGTCAATACAGGGTCTAATCTTTGAAACTCAGCTCCACTCACTGGTCTTTCCTTTTATGAACAATGTATACATGTATACTTTATTTTATATACTAATGTTTCAAACGTAAGACCTAGAGACATCTTGAATCAGTTATTTACTGAAAACAATAAAACATTTTGAACAATTTTAGTGTCCCCCCTGACCCCCAGAGGTAGGCAGGGGTTTCATTTCACTTTAAGGGGTGGATTCTTAGCCGGATTGTGGAATGTGAACAATAGATTGGACGTCAGTCACTTTAAGTTCTTTTTTTAATGCTTTATTAAAGAACAGTCAAACTGGTAGATAGGGCAAAGGGGTTCAGACATCCATTGCAAAACAGACAGACTCCAGACTCACTAATCCTTTCAGGCTGCCACAGTGTAGAAATACCTTAGTAGGACAGAGGATGACACTGTGCAGTAGAACAGCATCTGAATAGAGATGTGCATGAGATCTTTCCTATGAGAAACACCAGACTAGTTCCTGAGGTCCATGCTATCTCCTGGCACCTCAAACAGTCATAGGACTCCTCTGGTTCTCCTCCCCAGATAGTTCCAGACCCCACCTGGGTCCAAATGTGGCCTCCTGTAGGTTTGATGCCTAGTCAGCTTCTCCAACCTTGTACATCCCACTCCAGGCTAGGATCCGGGGTGGACTGAACCCCAGCACATGGCAATCCCTGAGTATTTATGCACTTCCCCAGCATGCACCACTGGCCACGAAACTCCCAGTGATTGGCTAGTAAGGCATAGACACTGCTAATGTTCCCCTATTGGCTGCCTCACTCTGACAGGGTCACACCCCACTCACAGGTAGGAGCAATCAATAGCAGAACACCTAAAATAACCAAATGATACCAGACTAAAAATCAGCCAGACTAATTACAGTGCTAGCAACACTAAATTTTAGTCGCCACTTATGGTGGTAGGGGCTACACAAGCAATTGGAGAAGCTGCATTCAGATAGGGTTCCTGTGTAGGCCAGTGTATGTCAGAGCAACTGACTGGCAGTGTGTGTCCAAGCCTAAATGGGCAGGAATACATATCAAACTAGACTTCTTGATCTGAGAGACCGTAAAGAACTGTTGAGAGAGCTAGTCTCAGTGGAACAGACTCAAAGAGGCTTAGTCTAGGAAGAGGCTAAGGCTTAAGGAAAGTTAGTTAGCTAGGAGACTGGATATGGGCTATGCTGAACTACACTATCAGGCCAAAAGTTTGTGAACACCTCACCTTCACCCATATATGAGCTTATCAGACCCATATCTTATTCCCAAACCATGGGCATTGATATACATTTGGATTTCTCATTTGTGAATATAACAGCCTCCATTCTTCTGGGAAGGCTTTAAACAAGATTTTGGAATGCGTCTGTGGGAATTTGTATCCATTCAGCCAAAAAAGCATTTGTGAGGTCTGGTACTTATGTTGGACAAAAAGAACTGGCTTGGAATTGGCATTCCAATGAACTTATAGGTGTTTATTAGGCTTAAGGCAAAGCCACTCAAGTTTTTCCACACCAGACTGGTCCAACCATGAATTTATGGACCTGACTTTGTGCACCTAATAATAATAATTTGGAGGGTTGTAAACATACTTTAGTCCATATAGTGTTTTGTTGCACTGTGTCTTGCTTAGTATATACCCTTGAGTGGGAAACATATGTTCTCTTTGTTTTGAGAAAAAAAAGTGGTCTGAAAGTCCTAAAATGTATTTTGGTGAGTGAACCAACTCATTAAAAGGTTCTATGTTTCATTTTGATCTCTACACCTTACATTATAAATGACACACAAATTCACATGGCTATGGCCACTGGATTGTAGTATTTGGATGGGCCTTAGAGCTTCAATCCAACTTTTGGTAGTCCTGAGACCAAAGTCTTTTGGTTCATGGTGACTAAGCTATGCAAAATTAAAATCAATCATGAATTAGCATGGCTTTTAAAGTACTATGTGAATTATTTTTTTGCCTACAAACATATTTTACAACAATATATTTAAATTCTACCTGACATAAAATCTATTTTGTTATAAATAACGCATTTGAAAAGAAAGTATGCTTCTTGTGTAGGTGACCCTTACCACCTCAAGAAAGTTTTCACCTTTGGTTGAAAAGGGCTGTAGACTGCTGCATCATATTACCTACCATGCATTTCAAATTTATTAAAATAATTACAATTATCAAAGATTTCCTTTTCACAAACATTTTACCCTTTTTATTTGTAATGGAAACCTACAGTGTATTTTAAAAATATTGTACCTTGAGCTATTATTGAAATGTCAACCTTAACCACTTGCTGACCAGGTGTTTACACCCTCTTCCTGGCCAGGCCATTTTTCAGTACTTTGACTGACATGTATTCCATTATGCAACGCTGTACTGAAATTAATTTTATACAATTTTTTAGGGACAGATAGAGCTTTCTTTTGGTGGTATTTAATCACCACTGGGTTTTTTTTACATTATGTTATAATACATTTATTCTTACCCATTTTTTGATAAAATATAAAAGCTGGGGTCACATCCGGTAAATAGACACCAAACATGTCAAGCTTTAAAATTGCGCGCACCCGCGAAATTGCAAAAAAACTACCATACCCAAAATTCTAAATTCCAGGCTATGAGCTCTCCTCCAATCGCTGGATCCGGAAGTGATGTGTATTACATCACTTCTGGTGTCACTGGGCACAGTCTCTGGCTCCTGGAGCCAGAAGAAGAAGCTTGTGGAGCAGATCTCTGCTTCATCAGCTTCTTTGGGGTCCCTAGGTGACATTAGCGGTCTGAAAGACCCCTGATGTATCCATAAAGAGGACCTGTCACATTATATTTGCTATTACATAAGGGGCTTGTTAGCCCCCTAGGCAATAGCAATAAAGCTGAGTGTGAAAAAAAATTGTACAATTTTGCTAATACATGCAAAAACAAAAATTGTGCCACACATGTTATATATTGTCGTGAGCCTCAGGGAGAGAGCAATAATTCTAGGCCCATCAATTACTGTTTATACTAAACTGATGAGCCGTAAAAGCTTTTAAAGTGTCGCCTATGGGAAATTTTGGTTATTGCATTTTTTTGCGGTTTCTCGGATGCATGCAATTTTAAGGCTTGGCATGTTTGGTATCTATTAACCTGGCGTGACCCCATATTTTATATTTTACCCAAAATTGGGCATTATATTCTGTTTCTGTTCACTAAATTTCATTTTAGTGTATTTTATCCTAAAAATACTTGTATTTTATCCAAAAACCATTTGCGCAAATACTGTGCGACATAAAAAATTGCAACTAGCATCGTTTTATTCTACAGGGCCTCTGCTTTCAGAAGATATATAATTGGGGGCCTGCAGCTGTTTTCTAGCCAGAAATTTAGATTTGATCATGTGTGTGCACATGTAAGAAATTGCTCTGGGCAGCAAGTGGTTAAATCTTAAAGGAGAACTATGAGATGAGTGATTTCCACTCACCTCATAGTTCTAGCCGATCTGTGACAATGAAACTGTCACAGGTCGGCTCAGTAGATCGGGAGGTGAGCAAACACATACCGGTGTTCGCTCACCTCTCGATCCTGTCACGGCTCTCTGTCGTGACAGGGGAGGGGATGGATTCCCCCCTCCCCGCTCCGATCCGCCAGTGCTGACTGGCGGAACGGACGGGGGAGGGGGGCAGGTACAGATGGCTCTGCCTCTAGATAGGCAGAGCCAGCTGTCAGTCACGCAGCTGGGCGGATCCAGACATAATTGTCGGGATCAGCTGCGGCGTCTTGGTATACCGCGAGCGGAAACTCGCGGTATACTGCGGCGTCTCAGTATAACGCGAGCTACAGCTCGCGGTCTACTGAGCCTAGGGTGACGGGAGGACGCTAGTTTGTGTCCTCCCGTTACCCTAAGGAGAACTATGGAGAAAAGCCTTAACCCATAGTTCTCCTTTAATGGATTCGGTTTACAATGCATTCAATAACTATTAATATTTTCAAAACATTGATCCTTATCCTGGTGTGTTAGCTTAGTGAATTGAACCTAATATAATTGTTTGTTCACATAGACCAGCTAAACAATGTAAATTATATTGAGTCAGTCACGGAGAACTCTTATTGTCATTTGCCAGGAATATAACTTATTTTATTGTTTTGGGAATATGAATCTATCTACTGTTATATTTATTTGTGCATTGTTTGTTTAGCTATGCCCAGCAGCTTAATACAAGTTTACTCATGGTATCTTCTCATTAGGACGGTGTACCCCAGTGGAGGAAGAGACTGGAAATGAGGAAGAACTGGGAGCTGATACTGAAACCCTTGAAGTATTTGGAAAGACGTCAGCTGTACCATTATCTAGTACTGGAACCTTTAGAAAGTCAAGCCCTGAACGAATCAAATCACACGTTACACAGAGTTCCTGGAAAACCAAGGAGCACTATAACTCACACTTGGTAAAAGCTTTACTAACTGTTATGTCAATCCAAAGTTGTCTTTTTCTGAGTGCATCCCAACAGGCTGAATCAACTACCAGCTTCATATATATCTGAAAGCCTTCACTAATAAGATTTGTATAAATGTTTTCACCTTTACCCACTTGTTAAAAACCATTATAAGGACATTTCACTCACATTGCTGATTATACTTAAAGGGGCTGATTTATAGCCCTACTGACCAGCAGAAATACCTATGCTCCTCATCGCCATCTAGTGGCAGTGGTGTCATGCAAAGGGATATAAATCAAATCAATGAGACTAGAACAGCAGCGAGTAGCCTGCCGGAGGTTCGGCTCAGCCGATCCAGATGTTGGACCGGCTGAGTTGAACTCCTTCTGCACTTCGGGTCGGCCGAACATGCTGATCATGTTCGGTCGACCCGAAGCCACGCGAAGTACGGCTGATTTCAGCCGATATACGGCTGAAATTAGCCGTACCAGCCTGAAGTGAATAGCCAAACAGCGTTCGGCTCACTTCACTTCGGGTCGGTCTTTCACTCGGCTGCCTACGGCAACTTAGTGAATAGACCCCTATGGGTTTTCAATTAACTCCTGTATCTATCTTCAGCCAAAGACTTTATTAGAACTTGGGGTTATTAAATGTTCTTTCAGTTTTCCCCTTTCTCAGTGACCAAGCTGAGGAGATTTCTCTTCACCTGCTCCCCCATTGACAATGAGGTTGATTTACTAAAGGCAAATAGGCTGCTCACTTTGCAAGGGGATTTAGCTTAGTGAATGAGGTGAAGCTCTGCTGACTCCCATCAGCCAATTATAAGCAAAAAGCTTTTTTGCCCAAGCTTTTTTATATTTTTCTTTAATGTCATTGGGAATTCCTTGCAAATTGAATTTTTACCATATTTATTAAGCAAAGGGAAAATTCCCTCGAAAGATTAACAGGCTATTTGCCTTTAGTAAATCAACCTCAATGTGTAATCAGAACAGGGAGTGAGAGGAAATTTTCAAGAGGGTCACAGCAATAAAAACACTTTTATAGTAGAGTAGGGGAAGGCTAGAGCCCCTTCCAGCATTTTATTTCTGGAAAGTAGTAGGCTGGCTTCATACCTAGGCAACGTTTTTACGCATTTTTGATGCACGGTTCTGTGTGTTTTTGCGCGTTATGATGCGTGTGTTTTTGTGAGCAGATTGTAGATTATTGATGTTAAGGAGCAAACGTGCATTAAAAATGCGCGCAAAAACACAGCAAGCGCGTGTTTTTGAATTGTTTCCTATTGAGTCTATGGGGCCAAAACAAGCTGTAAAATGACCAAAAAAAGCTCATGTACTTTTTCCAGCAACAGATGTTAACAGAGCCATAGAAATGAATGGGACTTTTTTAGGGGTAGATTTTGTGAGCATTTTTTAGGGCAGAATACTAGAGAATACTGACCTTTTAAAAAAGTGAACAAAGAACAGAAATCTACAAACATTACTTTATCTGTATATATTATAATAAAGACAATCCTTAGAATTGGACATAAAGATATTAGTGGCAAAAAGATATTACAGGCAGTTTATACCCAAAAAAAGAAATATATATATATATATACACACACACACACACACACACACACATTTGAAGACTTTTCTTATTGCAAAGTTATTCATTTAATTTTCTGTGTACAAGACAGGACAATACTGTATCAGAATGTATCACTAAATGTACTGCTTTTTTAAAATATCCTTTATATACATTCTTGAGGTGATTATTATTATTATACAGGATTTATATAGCGCCAACAGTTTGCACAGCGCTTTACAATATAAGGAAGACATTACAGTTACAATACAATTCAAGACATGATGGTAAGGAGAGCCCTGCCGTGAGGGCTTACAATCTAAAAGGGAGGGGCCAGTGATACATGAGGAGGTAGTTGTGTGGGGATGAATTGTTTGAGAAAGTGATAGTTCAGTGGTCAGGTTGAGGTGGGATAGGCTTCCCTGAAGATATGAAAAAAGGTGATAAAAATATTTTACCATCCAACAGGGAGAAACAAAGCACAGTCAAATAAATGGAGATGATACAATAATTAATAGGAGTGACTATTATGAAAAGCCTCCTGTTCCTTTGGAGGTGTCATTTGGGAAGGACAATGCTTCACTCACTCACAAGAAGCCACACACTACCTTTTACGGTGGCCCTTTTACTGGTCGAAGGAAATACACTTATGGTGAGTAGCCAATATTGCCACTTCCATTTTATTCTGTATATGTGTGTGTATGTATGTGTATGTGTGTGTATATATATATATATATATATATATTTTAGCACCTAGGCAAAAATGAGCAGTTAACCCTGGCAATGCGGGGGTAGCCCCACTGTTCGGGAAAATAGAAGTCTATTTGCCGGGAGTTCATCTTTAAAACTGCAGCTGCATCATATCCATACAGCCTTCTTTGATGAGGCATTACACTATAAAATAAAATCATATAGAACCTCTATGTCGCTGTCTACATATACATGTTAAATTGTCTGATGAGAATCAATCAGTTCACAAAACCAAGAGCTAAATATATTACCTTTGCAATATATATATATATATATTATGGTAATATATATATATATTTCCATTTTTACAGTTTGCAATCTGTCAGTAGTTAAATACAAATTAATAGCTTTCATTTGTATACATTGTTAGAGTTATGTTCCTATGGCTGATCTTCCAACTCAGGTGTGGGTAACTTCGGCCTTCTAGCTGTGGAACAAATCCCTTAATGCCTCTGCCTCTGGGAGTTATGCCTGTGGCTGTCAAAGTCTTTCAATGCCAATGGGACTTGCAGATCTGCAACAGCTGGAGGACCAAGGTTGTCCACCCCTGCTTCAATTCATTTCTCCCGCATAGTCAGTCAAGTATACCAGCGTTTAGTGGGGGTTCTCTTAAAACCTTTGCCTTATCTCTTATTGACCTTAAAGTATATTTCCACTTTTGTAGCCAAATTGGAGTAACACCTATGAAATATTTGTTACATGTTACATTTTTACTTTGCACTTAAGAAGAAGTGCCGCACACCACTGACATCATTATAGAAAAACTTTATTCAGATCCGACAGCTTGCATGATGCCATCCCTGCCTCTAGACCACCCTCCTCTAGACCACTCACCTTTGATGCATTTCACCCTCACAGGCCGAGTCAAGGAGAACAGTGCATTATGATATATGGAGCGAGGATGGGCTCCCAGCCTTTACCCACAGTGCATCCGGACGGGGAAACTTATTATAGTGTGCAGCAGTGATGATTTCTTGTTACATTTTTCCTTGCTGTACTATGCTGAAAGATCTCAGTTATCAGTTGTAAACTAGATGTTCACACTGCCTGTCCTAACAAAGGGTTAAATATGGCTTGGGTGGTACATTGTATGTTAATGCACTTAAAAAAAACCTGTTCATCATTAAATCTGATGTTAAATCTTAGGACCTTGGCTTCTTGATAAGTATCTGATGTTCCTTAAGCTGGCCATATACCGTAATGGGCAGGCAGAACGAAAAAAATCACTTGGCTCCCCCATTCAAGCTAAAGAGCGTAGCTCGCAGAATCTTCCCTGCTGGGCTATTGTATTCTTCAAATCACGAGAATATTTCAGAGGCGCTTGGAGAAGTCAACAGCCGCCTGCATTCTATCAGTTTGGGAACTGACCCATATCTCAGTTCAATCCTTCATTTCCATCTTTTTAAACCCTGACAAAGGGGGTTGTATTTGCCATTAAAATGCTTTGGCTGTGTGACCAACATAATCATTATGGACTCTGAAATCTGATTTGATCTAGAGCTCTTCTTTTCTGTCCAATTTTTGGGCTATTGTATTTGGATAGCCCGAGCCAGAATACCTGAACAGTGACTGCAGCAGTGTTCGGCCAACAATATTCCACCCGGCTCGTTCAACAAATTTTGGTTAAGAATTTTACTTTGTCAAGTGGAATGGTGCTGGCAGGGCCACCCACGAATCAACTTCCATCCGAAATACATAGTCTATATTTTCTTGTGACCTTTGAGGAATGAATTTGGAGAGAAAAAAAATAGTGTCCAGACTTCAGGTTTAAAGATAGCTTTTCTTTTCCTTTTCAGTTAGCATTACCTCTCACTAGTGTCTATGCAGGTATCCTTTCTGAGTCTTCCCATTACCTATTATAGTCTTTTTTGATGATGTGGCTAGCCAGTACTGACAAATCTAAGCATAATGGTCTCTTCAATATGTTGCTGCAAATAGAAAATGTCAAATATCTGTAATTTCACACACTAAACAAACAAATGGAGGGAGGTATTATGTAGTTGGAAGGATTGTACGTGGCCAAGCTAACTCAATAAACCAATCACAACATATTGGATAGGACACAGAATCATGACAGCCACAACATAAATTATTTTGAGTTACAATACTAGGTTTTAACAAATTCAAAATTGTTTAGATTTTTGGAAACAGCAACCAACAAGACTGGAGAATTTTGTTTCACAATACTTTTGACATTTTGAAAGAATCCAGCCTGCAGGGAAAACGTTTAACAGTGTTGTCAAGATCAGTGTATGACTTTATAGACAAATGTAGTCAGTTTACTGTTGGTGGTCATTTGTGTCAGTTCACTTTCATTTACAGGGTTATTCACTAAAGGGTGAAGAGCTTGGAGAAGGAAGGAGAAGTGAGCAATCTAGGACAAAATAGCTGAACTGGAAAAATTCTCCAATTCAGCTCACTTTCCAGATCAGCTATTTTGGCCTAGATTGTTCACTTCTCCTGCCTTCTCCAAACACTTCACCATTTTGTGAATATACCTGTTAAAGTCTATGGGGTCTATTCACAAAAGGGTGAAGAGTTTGGAGAAGGCAGGAGAAGGGAACAATCTAGGACAACATAGCTGAACTGGAAAGTGAGCTGAATTGGACAATTTTTCCAAATCGGCTATTTTGTCCTAGATTGTTCACTTCTCCTGCCTTCTCCAAACTCTTCACCCTTTTGTGAATAGACCTGTATATATAGCCAAAACCAGGGAAGGGTTAAATCCCCTATAAGCTTATTTTTTGCTGTCTGTGTCTTGTTGGGAACATTTCCATTCCTTCACATCCTGTCCCAGAGGCACAACAGGAAATTGGAGGAAATCTAAGCTGTCTCCACCAGTCTAAGAGGTGAATTTCCCTCTTAGACAGCTGTCACCAGAACAGGTGTCCCCATTGGAAGACTTACCCGCACCTCTTGTTCTTGTGACACCTTTGGCACTTATTTATTTTTCTCACATGTCTGCACTTTCACTTTTTTATGACTGTATTTTTCACTCCCCTAGGATGGAGGGTGTGGTTCTTTGGGCCTGCCCTGAAGACTAGGGGGAAGATGTGTGACCATTAGGTTCCTTCCTCCCTGAACTGGGGCTCTCCCTTTGGGGGAGCCCCCAATCTAGTACTCGGGGGTCAGCTTTGCTTACCTAGAGGAATGGGTACGCCTGGGTTTGGCTGTCAGGAGCACCCCAGGGGGTCAGGGAAAGGGCCCTATCTCTTCAGGAGAGGGGCTATTTGACACACCTAAGTGCTTAAAATTTCTTTTGGATTTCCCCTAACTTTCTATCTTGGTGTCAATGATCACCAGTACAAACAGAGGAGTGAATCTCCCCAGTGGTCACATGGAGAAATAAAATATGACAGAGGGTCTAACCCTTTACTGTTCTATCCAAAAATTAAAAATAGTTTTTGTCTTTACATATACTTTATTTTTAGCTTTTGTTCTTCTTAGCAGAGCAAGAAAGCTTTGTTCTCCATGGACAAGCTAGAGCTGTTATATCCCTGGACATTGAATTCAATAGTTTAAGACCTAGGTATTTTCTAGAACTCTTTGTTTCTGTGAAACAGTAGTGTTGACTAGTATACTGTATGTGGTCTCCCATTAGATCTGTTTTCAAAGTGTAAGTAAACCCAAAAGCAAAAATGTACTATATTGCAGTTTTACCAAATCTTAGATGTAGTGACTGCATTAGTTTTCTTTTTTAAGCTTTTTTTCTTTTATTTTCAACTGATGATCCAGCCAGTAAATCTGTTATTTTTTGCATCTTACTTTAAAGCTAGTCATACACTGTTCTATTTCTTTCTACATATGACCTTATGGAGAGATTATTCTTCTGCCCTGTGCCCTGCCCTGTGTGAAAGGAAGTGAGTTAGATAGCCCCAACAGGGACACAGCAATAACCTAACAATGACTTTAATCTTCTAAAATTAAAATAAATGCCTTAGTTAGATGTTTTGAGCAGCTGAAATATAGATAATGAGTACCTCTAGATTGCCATTATTATGAGACCCTTGAAAGATAATGCTGTCAATTGAACCTATCAAAATAAATGCTATGCCTTATCATTTGGGAACTCCTAAAACTGATGGTGGGACGTAACTGGGACACCAGCCTGTGAATGTGAACGTTTGTGGTTTAGATCTCCAGGTCCAACTTTAATGTCCCTCATATTCTATACACCACATCTGAGGCTATCTATGTAGTACAGTGTTTACAAATGACAAGGGTAAAGTAGATGTACAAGTCCAAATAGTTCACACAATAACCCCCTTTTCCCCAGAACCTAATAAATAATTCACCATATCACCACAGATACCATCCTGACACCAATTTTCAATGTAGCTAAGAGATGTCCTATCTGGGATGGACCCTAAAACCCTAACCAGCAGTGACAAAATGATAGATGCAAATAGTAATGTCAATATATACTACACTCCTATCAAGGAAAGCTATACATTTAACTAGTGGGAGGGTGGGAACGTTAGTTCAACACTGCACCCCTCAACTGAACACTGTGTGGTCTCTTACACTTAACCCTCATGTACTCCTTCCATACCTCTTGGATCTGCAATCAAAGTAAGTTCCTACAACTTCACATCTCTCCTTTTCCTTACCTGTTTAAGTATTCCCACTCTATTTATACGCATCTTATGCTGTCTAAAATTGTGCTGTGTAGGTAAACAGGACCTAATGAGACTGTACAATGAAAATATCGATCATCTTCCAGAGGGTCCATTCTTGCCACCTATTTCTCAATCTGTTGGCCCAGAACTTGAAGTCATGAGAGATATTACCAAGGTAAGAAATGTACACAAAATATAGCTGGAAGGGAAAGGAATGTTGCCCATGGTGACATATCATATTTCACCTTTAATTCTCTGGAAAATGAAATAAAGCATCTGTCTAATCACTGAAGACACTTTCCCACTTCCTCCTAACCTTTCTAATATTAACAAAGTGCCATGTGCAACATTAGATAAATCATTTTTTTTTAAACTTTTAACACTATAATTTAACTGTCTGCCACTAGTGGAGAAATATGTTAGTGGCTTTTTACCATTGTCCACCAAGCATGTACTGAAAAAATGATATGCATCTTGGGTAAAAAAAAAAGTTGTATCTGTGCTGAAGCACACATCAGAAAGCATGTTTTTCCCCAGCTTCCTTCAGAAACGCTTTGCTGTCTTTGCAGTGATGCAGTGAACATTGTTTGTTATAACTCCATAGTGTACAAGTACATGAATGAAAATAAATGGCATAAATGATGGTAACAAAAATTATTGGGATTATTATTAGGGTTGCACAGATACCAAGTACAGTACTCGGTACGAGTACAAGTACCGATACTTTTGAGCTCCAAGACTAGACTAGAGAAAAATCTAAAAATTAGGAGTCAGCTGTCATTTGTAAGGAGCACACGGAGCTCCTGGGATTAGTACATCTCTGTTTTAATGTACGATTTTGTTTTTATAAATATAAATAAAGGGATGCACAGATACCAGTTTTGCGAGTACGAGTACTGGTACTTGCCGAGTACTTACAACTATGAGTACTGATACATTTTTGTTTATTGTCATGTGACAGTTTTTCTAAAACAATACAGACTAATGATTTCAGGACAGTGGTGGAGTTCCAGAGCCAGGTCCCAGCTGCAACCGCTGCAACCCTGGTAGTTCTCATGAAAATGCCAAGTATCTGCACTGGTACTCAAAAAGTATCTGTGCATCCCTAATTATTATTATTATCATTCAGCATATTGGGATTATCCAGCATACTCCAGCCAAATAGCCCTGGTGAGGACAGTTGGTCAAGAAAGGGGGGTTGGAACTTGGCAATCATAATATATACAGGTAGATATTTTCAGTCTTGGCTGTTTAATGTCAGAACCACGGGTGTGGTGTCTTGCACATGTACACATGTGCATATAATCCAGAAGAGCTGCAATGTGTTCCAGCACTAGGCTTAAGCTGGCCATACATCTATAGATTTTCTGCAGATTTTCTATGGTCAGATGGAAAAAGTGCAACAGATTCCTCCATCTACGCTAAACTGTGTGGATGGAGGAATCTCCCACTGGGCCAAGCTTTAGTATCTTGCTAGTCATCCCCGCTGGCTTTCAAAATACCTGAACAATGCCCGCATCCAATCAGATTGTTTAGGTATTGTGAGAGCCAGCAGGGCCGACTAGCAAGATACTGAAGCAGGTGACAATAGAAAGTGACCCCACTATTATTATTAGTGTGATTACTCTGTTGTTGTGCTCTGGTATTCAGACAGCCCAGCAACAAAGATACCAATTGGCACTGGCACAGAGAAGCAGACATGGCTAAAGATATGTTAAGAAGTTAGCCTTGTATGTGTAACAGAACAAAAAAGCAGATCACCAGCACTCAGTAATAAAGTTGAATATGTCCCTTTTAACTGGACAAAGACGTCACAGTGATCAGAGAAGCCGACGTTTCGGGACCGCGCAGGGTCCCTTCCTCAAGGCAGAAAGACGTGTATGTGTAACAGTCATTTTAGAAAGGACCTGAATTGTGGAAATAATGCTCAAAAAAAGGCAAAAGGAGGGCAAAGGGCTAGTCACCAGTTTTGCCAAGGGGCTTCCTCCAACTGATCCTTTCCCCTTTACATGAATTGCCATGTCTTGTTCTCTGCTTGGTAAAGGAGCAGAACTCTGCTTCCTCATGACAGAGCTGCCCCCTGGTGACTAGAGATGTGATGACTTGGGGGGGATATTCAAGAAGCAGCAGGTGACAACTGTAGAAAGCACAGATCCAAGCAACAGCAGGGAGGAGATAGATTTTCTGTAGATTTTCAGGTACAGCTTTCTTTTCAGCAAGGAGGACAGTGACTAGCACAGTGGTGACATCATCAAATCTCATTCCTAATTTCATGAAACTCGCAGCCAGAGGCAGCAGTTCCTTTCACACAGCAAATATACAGCTATGAAGCTGTAAGCCCAGAAGTCCTTAGGCACAGGAAGTGCACTGCTCTTTTCAGGTCAAATTTAATGCTTAGACATCAGAATCTAATGTTCAATATAAGATAGCAAATCTTCACTTTGAGTTTAGCTCCTTAGCAGCTGTTGAGAAGAAGCCCCTCACAAGAAGTACGGTTCTGGGGAAGCTATATTTCAGGCCACTGTAAGTGGTCTCCCCACCTCAATGAACAGTGCATGTAGTTAGGAAGTAATGTATTTAGGGATCTGTAAGGGTTAGTTCACACCATATGCAGTGCGTTCCGGCCCGATTCCGGCTGGAATGCACTGCATCGCATTGCGGCCGGCTCGCACGGGATCGCAAGGCACATTGTGCCTGCAGTGCCGTCCGGTGCAGTGCGATCAAAATAGTGCTTGCAGCATTGACTGTACTGATATGGCCCATCCAAGAAGACGCCAAATGCCAAAAGTACATCCTGCCTTGTAAAGTGACAGGTGCACAGCTTTGACCAATTGATCTATCCCTTTAGTTTACTGTAGAAGTATGAAGGTTGTAGCTGGGCTCATTGGACATCCACTAGGCCCTAGGCTCCTGCCTAGGGTCAGTCTGTGCTCAGAGATGGTAGACTACATGCTTTATGTTTTATGAGTAATATAATTTCAATTATTATTAAATACAGGAACCCTTAAAGTTACCCCCAATTACGGATGAGTCCATCAGAATTCCACAAAGAAAGAGGAGGCGCAAAGCTGCAGATCCACCAAAGGAACTTTTAATCATACCACTGCTTGTACGTTTTGAGAATCAGAAAGTGACCCAAGAAGAAAAGACAAACACAGACGGGAACACAAAGGCTGTGCCTATGAACAATGATGAAGGTACAGTGCATTCAAGAGGTACTTCACTATCTCAAGTATGTCATTATATGCATATTGAGGAGAATATATCCTATTGTTGGTTATGATCTTTTTGTTTATGACTAGTTGTGTGCAGCTAGAACATTAGGATTTCCAGAGTTTAATATAACTATTTCATTAATCATATTATATGACTAGTTTAAGCTGTACAAATGTATAAAAATCCACTACTACTGAAGCAAGAAAATCAATACCCATGTTTCAACCATGAACACACTTTATATGAGCAAATTACAACACTAGAAAAACTTGGCTCCTCTCATAACGCCTAACCTGAGAAGCCATCAGCCCATCTTAGTAGCCAAACTAGTATGATTCCTTCTTAGTAACTAAAGTCCATAAATTAAAATGACACAAAAAGTACCTTTTGCCTCCGCAGTGGCAACTAAACTAATAATTACATTCATATTTCCCATAGCTGCTACGTATCACTGTTCTTAGGGGTCTATTCACGAAGCAGCCAAAGGATCTAGCCGTAGCTTCGGCCGATCCTTTGGCTAGCTTCGGCCCCAGGACACCTTCGGTTCAGTAGAACCGAAGGGCTGCTGTACGGGCTATTTACTATAGCCCGTACAGCTCCCGAACTTGGCCGAGCGGCTCAGTCGAGCCGAACGCATATGGCTCGGCTGAGCCGCGCTGAAAGCCGAAGCTGGCCAATCGGCCGGCCATTGGCCGACTGACAGCCTGCTTCTGACAGCTGGGCGGAGGCAGTCGTGATCTTACAGCTGGCTCCGGCCACTTGCAGAGAGATCAGCGTCCCTGGTTACCAGCTAACCAGGGACACTGATCTCCAGACAGCAAACTCTCCCGGCCGCTCCGGGAGTATCCCGCTCCCGGCCGCCAAGGAGAGAAACACTGATTTTTCTTTCTTTTTCCTTATTCTGACACGGAACCGTATCAGAATAGAAAGAAAAAAAAATGTTTGGCCATAGGAATGAATTGCTAGATTCCTATTGGCTATTTCAATTTGCAATAGCCAATGGCAAACTAGCATTTTGCTGCAGTTCTCCATCAGGTCCACCACTACTGATTGACAGCAGCAGAGGGTGGGTACAATAGCTAGTTTGCTATTGGCTATTGCAAATTGAAATAGCCAATAGGAATCTAGCAATGCATTCCTATGGCCACGGCTCCGTGTCAGAATAAAGAAAAAAAAAGAAAAAGCAGTGTTTCTCTCCTTGGCGGGCCGGGAGCGGGAGACTCCCGGAGCGCCCGGGAGAGTTTTAAAAAAAAAATGTTGACAGCAGCAGAACCGCCGGCCAATAGAAAACAGTTGGGCGGAGCTAGCTGTCACAATCTCTTTCTTTCTATTTATTTTTTTCTACTTTTTAAAAAAAATTCTGTTCTGCTCGGTCCCACGGAGGGACCGAGTAGAACAGCAGCGTCTATAAGAATAGACCGAACAGCAGCGAGTAGCCTGCTGGAGGTTCGGCTTAGCCGATCCAGATGTTGAATCGGCTGAGTCGAACTCCTTCTGCACTTCGGGTCGGCCGAACATGCTGAGCATGTTCAGCCGACCCGAAGCCACCCGATGTACGGCTGATTTCAGCCGGTATACAGCTGAAATCAGCCGTACCGACCTTCGCTTTAGGTCGGTCATTCACTCGGCTGCCTACGGCAGCTTACTGAATAGACCCCTTAGTCATTTTGTCAAATCCGGTATATTTAATTTAACACAATATTTACTTATTACTTTGTATTCTCCAACATCCCTCAAACCACCAATTCTGATCCCCATACAGGTCGTCCTGACCTCTGCCTTTTAAAACAGGCTACTTGGCTGCTTTCTTCCTCTCCATCACCTAATCTTTTGACCCTATTCCCTTCCACCTACTCAAACTACTTCCTGTCACCGCTGCCCCTACACTGACCCATAGTGTCTATTGATCTCTGTCACTTGTTATCTTCTGTATTTCATTTACCTCCTCTTCAATTCAATCATCCTTCTTCAGATCTAGCTTCTACTTAACTGTCCATTTGGTTTGCATTTTCCTTTTATCTACTCGGAATGTGCTATGCCCACTTCATTTATCATTTTTTTGAAATATTGATTTTGAAATGGCATTTGTAATGCGTTTTCTTCTTTGCTCACTTCATAAATAGTGTCTTGATAAAACAAGCCACATTTTGGCTTGCTACAGTGTTGGTTATTGGCCCATCCTAACCTGTGCCTATAACCATAATGTAAGTGGGTCTATTCTATGCATACTAAAAAAAAAATGTTTTAAATAAATACAGCAAAAGACAGTGGATATTTGATACCTTTCACTGATGACAGTCAATATATAATTTTACTGCATATGACATTATTGTTTTTAATTGTGTTAGAGATAAAAATGTTAGATGTTTAAAGAAGTGTGGTTTGGCTTTTAGATGATTCTTTGGGCACTTTTTTAGCTTATATATTATGTTGCCCATATGTAATCATATAAAATATACTAGTGCAGATCATTTTGGGAGCACTATACAACTGTATAATGAGGAGCCGGGAGACATGAACAAGTTAGCCTTTACGGTACTTACTGTATATGACCAGTGGAGAAATACAGGCAATAATTTTCGTGACTTTACTGTTTTATCTTTTGAATGATGAGATCATGTGTTTGACATCAGGATGTTATCATTTTGTAAGAATATGGACATATATCAAATTACTCCTATTTAACTTAATGTATATATGATTGAATAATTCTTGTTTTACTTATTTATTAGCTATGTATATTATATGCAGCATGTATGCTATCTGGTGGGTATGAATCTATTTACCATTATCTATCTATGGGTGACAGTGCATGTTAAGTATAGGTGGTTCATAGCTATATACTGTACAATTAATACGATTGTGATTCTAGCTCACATAATAGCTGCAGCAATACAATTCAATTACAACCTTTAATCAAATTAGTTTATAGTATTCCAAAGGTCTTTATGTATAAATGTATTATTACAAAGAAGTGGATTTACTTCTCTTCAGCCACCAATCAGCAGCAAGCAAAATGTTGTATATTGCAGCTTATCAGTTCTTGGATTTGGTGGCTGCATCTGTTTCCTTTTTCCAGGCTTTCTTTCTCCTATTGTTCACCATATAATCTTGCAAGTAACACACTTCATGACCTACGGTGGCAACACACACTCACTCCACTATCTATAGAGGAGCAATGTTGTCACCCTAGGCTCTCCTAAATTTGGATTACAAACAGCTCCTCCCTTTCTTATTGCCATTACATAGGGGCAGGGCCGGTGCAAGGATTTTTGCCTACACAGGCGAAGGTGCATTTTTCCGCGCCCCTCCCTCAGGAAGTCTTATGCTAGCGCTAGCCCTGCAAAGACATCCCATAAAGCAGCACTCCAAACCTAATAGGAGATCTGTGATATCCATGTTACAGGTCAAACCAATTATCTCAGAAGCATTTAGAAAAAAGAAAGACCATCAGCTACTAGTGCCCTATATGTGAAGCCACAAGCAATGACACCCCAAATAGTTTACTGTGGAGCACTCCAATACAAAGACAGCCCCCAAAGTGTACCACTCCAGAAAGCATAACGAAGATGTCCATGTTGCAGCTCACACTAAACATATCTAGAATTTGGGAAAAGATTGACCATCACCTTCTGAAGCCCTGTATGTAAAGCCACAAGCATTGACACCCCACATCTATTACCATGGAGAACCCCAATACAAGGACACCCCCCCCCCACTGAAGATAGCATAACTAACAGCACTGACCGCCAATGTAATGAAAGTATTCACACTGACCGCCAATGTAGCGAAGGTATCCACACTGACCGCCAATGTAACGAAAGTATTCACACTGACCGCCAATGTAAGAAAAGTATTCACACTGACCGCCAATGTAACAAAAGTATTCACACTGACCGCCAATGTAACAAAGGTATTCAAAATGACCTCCAATGTAACAAAGATATTCACACTGACCACCAATGTAACGAAAGTAATCACACTGACCGCCAATGTAACAAAGGTATTCACAATGACCTCCAATATAACAAAGATATTCACACTGACCACCAATGTAACGAAAGTATTCAAACTGACCGTCAATGTAATGAAAGTATTCACACTGACCGCCAATGTAACGAAAGTATTCATACTGACCACCAATGTAACGAAAGTATTCACACTGACTGCCAATGTAATAAAAGTATTCACAATGACCGCCAATATATATATATGTATATTTTTGACCTTGAGTTTAAATACCTTTTAAAATTGCAACTTGTATGGTAGCTGTTAGGGAATAACCCAAGTTCTTAGTATGGGCACATTTATACATAGGGCCTGTAGTGTCTGGGGTGCACTGCTGTTGTCTACTTTCGGGAATATGGCTCTTTTGAGTGGGAATGTTGACTTTTTGCTCTAATAATGCATTTCGAAAAATATTTTTCACAAATTCCACTAGATGTCGAGTTCTGGATTCTGATCAAAATGATGATCAAAACATAATAATTCACATGCGTAAAGTCATTCAAGTTATTTGCTCATTTAGCTGCAGACTGTAAACACTGTCAAACCTCAAACGTTTTTGTGGCCAGCATAACGTTTCGTGATGAGACGCCCTCAAAGCTTTGTGTTCTAGTTTTTGCATTCCAAGAAAACATTAATTTCTGTTGATTATTAGCCAAGCAAATAACCATTAGTAGCTGGTGAACTTATTTGCCTTTTTTCTCACCAAACATAAATGGGACTATGCAAGCCTTTTCTAAAGATGGCAGTGGTCCACTGGTATAGCTTTATAGTAGTGCTTTGAATTAATAACAAAGGACTTCTAAAGATAGCACAATTACGATCTTAAATCCCTAGCTGATGTGTGGTGGATTATGGTCTGAAAACTTTTAAAGTGCCCTATGTAAACATATATTCAAAGTATTCATGTTAGTTTTGATTCAAGCTGGGCAAACATCTCCTTTTGTATGCTATTGTTCTTCTATTACCTGTCATCCTTCTTTTTCTTTTAGATCATTTGTTTAAGGCACAGGTGTGACACAAGTGGCCTTTATTTGCAGTCACCTCTGGATTCTCAGTATTTTGAGCTTCTTACTGTAGGTTTAGTAAACTACAGGACACTTCATCACTTATAACAATGAACTGAAAATATACAGAGGAGTTTATGTATTAACCATAAGGCACTTATTGGCTCGTACCTAGAGCAGCAGGGTTAATGGAAGCAGAACAAAGAATCAAATGCACCCATCATGTTAACTTCATTATTTTGTTTCCATCTTCTTTCCATCACTTGATATTTGTGGCTGAGGCTCTGTTCACACTTTGCTTTTGATTCCAGTACAGTTTTCCACGCGTTCCTACACACGGCACACAAAACACGCACATTTTAACATACGCGTGGTTTGCGCACGTTTGTGGCTGCTACTGTAGCCGTAACGCACAAAAGTCAGCCAGAATATCGCACCTGTACTTTTTTGCGCGATGCACATTTTCGCACCGCGCGTATGACACGCAGGTGTGAACAAGCTACATTAAAATGTATGTCTTTTGGTGTTTTACACTAATGTGTGAACGGAGCCTACAGCAAGAGAGCTGTAATGGGTTGGGGGGTGCAGAGGATGATGAGTCAGATGGCTCCATAAAACATGGAAACATGATGACATCTCTCCTATTTCTTGTTTGGTTGTTTGTATCAGTAAAAAGACTTCTCACAGATCCAGTTTTTCATCACTAAAGCTTGTAGGCACACAACCTTTTACACAAGGCATTTCCTTGTTTTCCTTATCATATCCTGGTTTAGAATACTGTGATCATGTGGAAATACTGTAACCTTATGCAAGGTGACTACTGATGATGGAAATGTGTGGGCAATTATTTTTGCCACTCTTTTCCTTTGTCGCCTATAGGCATGTGCCTATTATTAAATTCAGCCATGGTTCTGTATTCAGTAGACTGCATGCTGACGTTACTAGCACATTCTAACAGTAGTTTTTTACCATAAAATTCACATGACATAAAGGATGGGCTTGCAAAAAAGAGCATCGTCATTCAGGTGTGCCTAGAACAGCATGGTGTCTAAAGACCTCATAATTGAGCAGTTGTTCACATTGATTACCATACTCATAACATAAAATCAATGAATACCTTGTAAAATGGTACTTACCAGTTGTCTTCTTGGTTACAGAAAAAATGAACAATAATCTACAGAGCCAAAAGGTGTATAAGGAGGAGCCAGTTGATCCCAAACTGGTGAAGGAGATCCCAACTGCAGTAGCAGAAAGCAGAATCAAAACATTACAGATGGATATTGATTGGAATTTAGATCCAAACCGAGGTACATTCTATATAGTGGCAAACTCTCTTTCTGAGAATAGGATTGGAGGAAGAATGCTTTAAATGTTCAATATGCCCTAGCAGGTTTGTCCAGGGACCCAGGCTATGACACTGCAATACATCCCAGCTCCAGCAAATAAACCCTTATCTTTTATCGTTCTGATGCAGCCAGGCTGCCTGAAAATCAACACATGTATATAGTTTTTTTATTTGAAATGTTAGTACTGTACCTTTAGCAAACTTCCCTGTGGTAGCAGGGCGCTTGAGATCCTGACTGCTGGTTTCACACAAAGTGCAATGGTCTGGATCTCCAGTGTCTGACATGCACCCTACACAGTGCTCTAATCAACACTCCTTGTGATCTCTGCAGAGCCCCCTTGGAACCTTGGCCAGGCTGTACTTGAAGCCTCAACATCTGTCCAAGTCATGATTAAGCCATGTATTAAGCCATGATCATATCATGCTAGATATTTAGTCATCAGCACATGCTCTGGCATTTGAAAGTTAAATGACAGGGCAGGCTTAGCATGGAATGTTGCTTAATTCCCATTGGGCAGACATCAAGCAGCCAACACAAGGTGGCTTCATTTTTGGCAATGTTGATAACTTAGGAACATATTTGTTCATATTAGTTTCCCTTTAAAGAACAAAGGTTAGGTCAAATAGTGGTAAGAATGAGCTACAGTGCAAGAACAAATTTCTATAACTGTTATGTGTGCTATTAAAGCATATTAAAGCATAACACAATTATATTGCAGCTTACCAGTCCTCTGATAAACTGGCTACATAAATATTAATTCTTCAGGGCTTTTTCCTATAAATACCACACATCCTGTCCTATAGTGGCCATGCTCACTCACTCCACTCTATCTATGGAGGGAGCCATGGTAACCACCCAGACTTGACTTAAAACATGTCTTCCTGTCTTCATCTCCTTTAAATGCAGGGTGGGGGATTCATATTTTATAGATGGAAGATAACATTGTTCATGTTTTCAGTTGATCTTGCCAGAAATGCAGTGTCCTTGTCACTTCATGTGAGATTAACCGTTTTTATTCATACTTGCTGAACATGTTCATTGGGTTTTCATATCCTTTAACAACCATACCATAGTTTGTACATGCAATCAACATTTGTCCTTCTAACTTTGTTACTGCCATAGACAACTGCCTTGTGAAATGCAGCTGTCATTATTATGTAATATGCCTAATTCGTGTTTATTTTATGAGTGCAGTCCAGGTACATGATGGTAATGTTTTTATGATTTCACCAATAAATTAAAGAAGAGTGCTGCAGATGAACTAACGAGCAGATGTGATTTTTCCACTTATATATGATAGATGACAATTTTCATACCATAACCAAAGTATGTTAAAGCCGTTCAACTATGTTGGTTAGCAGAAGCCAATAGATGAGCAATATATACGTGTATACATCAGTAATAATTCCTGTATGATTCTTGGCAGATGATCAGGAAACAGAGCATGACTATGATTAGCATGCCTGTATTTTAAGACTTATCTGAATATATTCATCCTGTTAGGCTTTTCTTATTTGGGCCTTTCATCATACTGATAATGTAAATAAATAACTAATTATGTAAATCTTCATAAAACAAATATCCTAAAGTCAACCAACCAACCAAATAATTAAAAGCCATTAGTGGTTTGGCCTTAACCACTGTAAATGTTTTAAAATATTACAAGTGACTGGAACAATTTAGATCAAACACTTGTATCAACACAGTGTATTAAGGGTAAAGCAGATGTTTTTGGGTGGTGTGGGGCTACGGTCGGATATCTATTCCCCAGTGCCATAAAATGCCAACCTGGAAACCCAAATTCAAGGATTTGCAATTACTAGTGTATGTCAGGCGTTTTCCTATTTAATTTTTACAAGCAGAATGGGCTGCAGGGAGAAGTACTTGGAGACCAGTTTGCAAATTAGGAGATGACAGCACAGGCACAATGGCAATAATTAGATATGTATTGTTCCTAAACACCTTTCCACTTACACATGGCTCCAAGGTACCTACAAATATAAGAAGATGTGACCGCTCACAAATATTCTTAAAGTGTATATGAAGCCAAAAATAGAAATGTAATATACTGCAGCTTATCAGTCCTTATACCACATATGGTGGCAGCAATCAATTCGTAGGCTCTGATCACCTGATAAACCTGCAATTACCACACTTCTGTCCCTGGGAGACTACACTCAGTCCTCCACTGTATCTGTGGAGTGAGCAATGGTTGTCACTCAGACTTGACTATAAATATGTCTGCCTTATATTCATCGCCATTGCATGAGGGATGTGGAGATTGGCAGTTTAAGGCCTTGTTCACACCAAATGCAGAGCAGATCTGCTCAGGTTTCTGCACACGCAGTGCAGTGGCTTGTGCCGCGTTTTTGATGCGTTCCGGGCCGTTTTAGGTTAAAAAGATTTTAAATTTTTTTTTTAGTTTATAATGGGCTTTCAGTGTGTTCCAGGGCATTTGCATACGTTCCAGAGCAGGTAAAATAGGGCCTGCTGCAGTTTTTTTTACCTGCTCTGGAACTGCACGCTGCGATGTGAACTGGAGCAAAAAATACCATTGGAATACATTGGATGCAGTTTTGATCCGGTCTGCAACTGATCTGCTCTGCGCCTGCTCTGCGCTTGGTGTGAACAAGGCCTAAGAAAGAAGATACAATTGTTGTATGGTTCCAGTTTTTCACGCAGTGAGTGATGACGATACTGCATTTCTAGCACGATCAAGAGGTATTGCTGAAAATGTTCTTAGCCTGGAAAAAGACAACTATTTTACTCCGTTCAGCCAGTTTTGTAATTCATCGTCCTCTACAACACTGAACAGCAAGATCAATGACTTTATTGCTTTCTAGTTCAGGTTTACAATTTCCTGTGTCATACCTGCTAATCTCACAACAAATCAACTATGTTGATATTAAGGTTTGACTCCTTACTAGCTCTGCAGTTTGTCAAAGGTGTGTGAACCACAAAGGCAGTTGAACATAATTACAAATTCTTCGGCAGCTAAGATATATGCATTTCCGCTGCGTAGTTTGCTGTTTGCCGGGAGTTCTGCTTTAATGCTGATGCATTTATTCAATGGTTAAAAATAACACGAATATGCATTATCAATTCCCTTTAAATTAGATTTTAGACTTTGCGAGCAATGTCTGGTAAGATAATTCAGATCATTACTGTACTTATCTAATTATCTCCTTCATGCTTAGGTGAGAAAACCTGAGGCAATGTACCGTACTCCCAGTGCCATCAGAAAAAGCTTTGCTTGTTAAAACTACCTGAAATATTAATCTCGTTGGTGATGCTGCTGCAGACCTCTAAATAATTGGCAAATGTCTTCTCTTCCTCCATGAGAAACCCTTTTCTGACAGCAATATTCACAGAAAATCATTTTAGAGGCTTTTTTCTTTTAATCCTGTACTAAGTGGGGTTTTGTGACATGTTAAAAAAGCTCAGTTTGGCCAGAAATGATTCCATCTCATCCCAGATCCAACCCCCAATTGAAGCTCTTGGGGGTTGGATCTGGGTCCAGAGCTTTCCTAGAGAGAATTCCTCTCACTCTCTGTCCTACTGCAGATTTTTCCTCACTTCCTGTCTGGTGAAATAGTTATCACCGACGGATCTACTGAGGGAAAATCTCCCTAAAAAAAGTCCCAGATAGCAGTAAAAACCAGACAGGGATTCTAATCCTTTCACAATGTAATTCAAATTAAAAGAAAAATGGTGGCTCGATTAACACTTTAAGAATGAAGGACCGTGTGTGCTGCATTAGCCGAGCATGTGTGCCCCTCACCATTAGTCTTGGGGAGTCATCTTGTAATTTTCCCCTCTGTCGCTGGCCTAACCCCTCCCCCCAACTAATTTCCTTTGGATTTCCAGCTTGGTCACAGGTTTGCAGCAGCCTAAACAGGGGTACCTTAACCCCAGGATCTTTCAAAATAATACAGTATTAACTGTAGGTGGTGGTCAGTCTTACTGAGATCCCAGTTAACACCATATGTATAAATGTATAGTTAGTCATAAGTGGATGTATTCTGATCCTCCCATTTCACTGTTTAACCACTTGAAGACCAGGTGTTTACACCCCCTTCCTGGCCAGGCCATTTTTCAGTATTCAGCGCTGCAGTACTTTGATTTACATTTATTCCGTCATACAACGCTCTACTGAAATGAATTTTTTACCCTTTTTTTGGGACAGATAGAGCTTTCTTTTGGTGGTATTTAATATCACAACCTATTGGGTGTGTGAGAGAGGAGATAGAGGAGATAGTGACAGGGCTGCAAACTGCAGCCTTTGTTTACTTTTGTGACAGCTGTGATTTGTCACAGCTAGATCGCAAGGTATAGAGCCGATTTTACTGGCTCTATACCTTGTTATGGAAACAGCACTGTCCAATGGACAGTGCGAGCACAGTTGTGATCGCGCCGGGAGCGCGCCTGAGCGGGGGGCGGGACGTCTAGAGACGCCCGCTCAGATCGAGGAAGGTCCTGGCCGGCCGTTTTTCTATACACCACACATGTGAGACTTTTTCACAATCTAGCCTCAGAGAGAGGAGTATTTTCAAAGTGCTCCATGGTATTTAGGAAGGTCCTGGCCGGCCGTTTTTCTACTACGGCCGGCCCGGAGGCAGTTAAAGAAAAATGTATGTATGTATTCCTTATGGCCGGGGGTAGGGGCCTTCTTGAACAAAGAAACCCAAGTTAAAAAATGATTTGAGGTATCTCATTATACAAACCCTGTGACACCCAACCCACTAAACCCAATGGTACCTAATTAAAACTACTTATTCATGACCCCCCAATCGATATTCCACTTCGGTGCATACTAACTTTGTTAAGGCCTTCTCCCTCTCTTAGGGGAACTAAGTCTTAAGCTGGCCATACACCTATAGATTTTCGATTGGAAATTTTTGTTGCTGCCAAGAACCCTTGTTCGATTCTAGCTCAAATAGCCCATCGAGCACAAACCAATGTCGATTTCGATAATCGTTCGTTAGCAATACTAACTCACCAAATGTTGTCAATCAGCAGTGCAGATTTTTGTTTTTGCATCTTTTGAATTTTTTTTTTCATGTGAAAATGCCACTAATCCATCGATTTTCGTTCGATTCGAAAAAGTTTTCCAGCGTTACCCTTTAAAAAAAATTGCCGGTGTCCCATCAACTGTTCGATTTCGAAAGACCATTTGTGGAAGATTTCCAAAAGAAAATCGAAGAGAGTATGGGCACCTTTAGAATGACCACCACCCTCCATTGGACTCTTATTAGTCCACCTGTTGGGCCAGCTACTTGATTAATGGATTGTCTATAATGCTAATGTATCACATACTTATTCATTTACGTTGCTAAGTGACTATAATCGTATGTTGTTTGTATCAGCCAAATGTTGCTGCCACTTAACGGTCAATTGCATTCTCACTTGAAATATAAATATATATATTTTTTTTAAAGTGCAGTTTTAAATATAGTTAATTTATTTTTTGATTTCCTGACTTACTGCTCCTTTAAATAAATCACCATTGCTACTTGCTTAATTGTTAGTGAGCTGCAGCAGAAATATCCCTTTGTTCACTCTGATAAGGTTGTATAACCCAATCAAGAAAAGTGAAATCCTATACACCTAGTGAGACCGTTATCAGTGTACAGTGATCCTTTCCATATGGGACAAATGTGTTCTCACATTCCAGTTGTATATACAAGGAGAATTCAGTACAGAATAACTTTTGGGTGTATTTGGTAAGGCAGCTCAAAGATCAAAGTTGAAGCACAAAGTACAGTAAAGTGCAATAATCAGTTATCTAAACTTGCTAAAGTATCACTGAAACATTAAAAAATACTGGGGGCTTTGAGTTTTGCCTGTTCCTTTACAAATATGCATATGTGTCATTAATGGAAACATAAGAAAATATGCAGGATGCCAATATTTTCACCCCCCTTCCCCCGTTGTGCAATTTTTTTAAAATTTCCACTCACTATGTTCTCTAAATTGTCCTAAAATTACATACTCACGCGTCCAGTGACTCCAGCATTGTCCTGCTACATCCATGGGATGTGATTCTAGCCTAGGTGAGAATCCTGGAAGTGCAGGGACGGAAAAATATAAAAATATAAGTAAGTAAATGTCCAATTATGAGACAGGAGGAGGGTAGGAGAGCAATGAAGTAAAGTGGGTAGGAAGGGTGAAGGTTCGCTTTAACTTTCTATTTAAAGTCGCCTGGCTACTATGTTGAGCCAAATGGGTCAATACTTTCTCAGACTTGAAACAAGTACTATTTTATTTTTATATTGAGTTTTCATTTATGCATTTTCTTGTGTTCTCCCTTCCAAGATGGTGACCCTCTACCACTGCCAGATGCCCCTCCTTTGAGTTTACTACCCCCTATAAATGGGAAGAAGGGACCTGGAAGCCAAAGCAGTATGGCAAATTTAAAGGTCCCCAACGGCAGCAACAACAACACATCAAGCTCCAAAGGTCAAAGTCTACCCACCGGCATAATTCGTGGATCAATACCTGAAGAGCTCAAAGGTAATAACATAAAACTTGATAAAAGCAATTGTGCCATGTATTATCAGTGCATTTGTATTTAATACTCAGCTATGGGAAAATGAATGGCCAGACTTGATGAATGGGTGTATAACATGTGCTGTCCTTTTCTTTGTTTATGGGATAATATGCTGCACAATAAAAGGTTCACACATGTTAAGCTGCCCATACACCTTACAACTGTTGTAAGGTGATTAAAATTTCGTACGATCTGCCCATCTTGGACAGGCAGATCGTATTTGCGATCATCGCAAGCCCTCCCCGCTGAGGGGAGGGCTTCCGATGATTGCAGTGCAGAGCAGGCAGTGTGCGCTTGCGCACAACGGCCCGTGCGGCATTCGTCTTCCAAGTACGCCACCAACCCGCCGGAAATCGTACGATTTTCAGCAGGTTTTCCAGCGTGCTCAGAAGACGAAAGTTGTGCGACCTTACAGTAGAATTGGTCGCACGCTGCCCATACACCTGGGATCACCCGTGATTATTGTACGATAATCGGCAGGCGTATGGGCACTTTTAGCCTTTAATGCTAAACAATTAAAATCAGGTTCGTTTTTCAGTGGGAACTAAAGCATACCACTCAAGGTATTAAACAAGGTAACATTTAGTTAAGGTGCCCAGAGACATCAGATGTGTCCTGATCCAGGATTAGGGGAACAACATCAGACAGGGTTTTTCTTCGGTTGTGCTTGATAAATTAGCACCATAGAAACCCATCTAGAAAACTGACATATAATCTTCAACATATCTATTAAATTGTAAAAGCAATTTTCAATCTCTTTATATCTGCATTTTTCATTTTTTTTAAACCCCAGTAATCCTGACATGGAGGTACTTTTTTTAGACACTTCCTGTTATAGGGTAGCAACTATTTTTGCCCAATTTCTCTCTCGCATAATCACCCTGTTACATGCACTTCCAGCTGAGACTATAGGGGCCATGGCAATGCTCATTACAAAGGCATGGTCTTCTGCTCTCACCATCAGTAAGCATACCCGGGGCAATGACATGCAGAGACTGAAAAGAGGTTGGAGTAAATACTAAAAGAACTAAACATAGCAATAAACATGGCAATTGTTTATGATATACAGTGCTTTAGCAAACTAAATGGCATCCAATTAGGGTTTAGATCTACTTTAAATGGACCCTGTCACCACAGGGTTACTTTACTCATAGCATCACCTGTAAAAGAAGAAGTTTAATTATTACTTTTCTGGCGGCTCATGTATTAAAATGCCTCTGCTTTTCCTGTTCCCAGTCACTGCATGTATTCCATACTTCAGGGTGTGTAGAATACCTGCTTCCCTGGCGGCACTTTGGTTCCTCCTGCTGGTGACAGGGTCACTTTAAGCACGAACCATTGCCCCTCTTTGTGTTTGGAGATGCAAAAGCCATCACAGATGCCTAAGTGTGATTAGGTAAGAAGCATTACAGTAAGGGTGGGCAACTACAGCCCTACAACTGCGTTTTAACTACAAACCCCAACATGCTTCTGCCTCTGGAAATCATGCCTGTGGCTGTCAGTCTTGCAATGCCACGTGGGACTTTTCCACAACAGCTGGAGGCCGGGAGTTGCCCAGTCCCCTGCATTACAATACTAAAGATACTTCATTATATGAATGTATCATAACTAAGTATGAGGCAGCTTTTACCTGTATAGTCACTAGCTACGTATTATATCGCATCACTGTATATCGTTAATAGAACTACCGTAATCTCATATTAATTTAATGACCTATTATCACAAGTGTCTAAGCCATTTTATGACCTGTTAAAAAAAACTTCTGTTAAAGTTAAAGAAGTATTGGGACAGTAAAATATATTCTTCCCAATACTTAAAGTCGGGACACTGCAACTGTCAAATGCTGGCACTATATACTGAGAGCTGAGCGATCACAGACTGCTGACAGCTCAGCTCACAGTCTCTTCCCTGCAGAGAGCGATGATCGACAGTTAGGGGTTGCCCCAGACCCCAGAGGGAAGTTCTCTGTTCCCCCAGCACTTATTGGAGGGACAGACAAGGGAGGGGATGGGCACAGTTTGCTCTGGTTCTAGAGAGGCAGAGCCAGCTGTCAATCAGGCAGCGGGGTGGATCCAGGCAATATTGTCGGGATCTTTCCCGGCTGCAGCGCGGCTCTGTGCTGTCAGCTGATAAATATACTCCTGTGAACCAAAAGAGAAGTAAAGCTAAAAAAAAAAAAAAGATTTGGCTTTACTCTTCTTATAGGGCTTGTTCGCACTAGTTCAGATTGTTCAGACTAGAGAGGCTGTAAACAAGGCCTTAATCTGAGCGGAGAGGTGTTGCTTTGGGTGCCAGAGGTTGTGTGGCTGCAGACTCCATTGATAGAAATCCAGCCCTGAGTATGTGCTCTAATTAAACTCAGTCATTTGATTTTATGTTCTGAGTTTAAGAAGTGTTACCATCATTATGCTGTAAGGACTCTGCTACTGCATTCTCCTACAGAGCTTATCTTCACTTGGGCCTTGTTTTTTTTTCCTGTGAGATAAGGATGGAGATTCCCACTGACCTTTCTGTGACTGATGCATAAATAGGATTAACACACTTTGACCAGATTAATGATTATCTGCCTGACCCACTGACTCTGAGGTGACACAATGTCAGCCTACTATGGAACTAGGAAGCAAATAGAACACAATAGATATCAGAAAATACTGAAGAACTGTTTGAAATATTTACAGACTGGTAATCTGACAATGCAGAAAATGTATTATTCATATAGGCCAATGATGGCTAACGTTTCTGAACCAGAGTGCCCAAACTGCAACGCAAAATCAATGTATTTATCTCAAAGCGCCAACACTGAAAATACATTTGGTATTGTGTTTTAGTTTGGGCACTGGGGTTTAAAAAATGTGCAGCATCACTGCCTTAGGCAAAATAGGGAAACACACATATTAAAATATGTATACACTCACAGACACAAACAAATATAATCACACGCATGTAATCATACATTCATTAACATACACATATCACACACTCATTAAAACACACCACAAATTCATAAAACACATCACACACTCATAAAAACATACATCACACATATTACACACACTCATATCAAACACACATATCACACACACACACTTAAAACACACACACACATATCACACACTCATAAAAACACACGTAGATATCACACACTCATAAAAACACAAACATATCATACACACTGATGAAACACACCCACACATCACACACATTCATAAACACACACACATCACACACACACTCAATAAAACACACACATATCACACACTCAATAAAACACACTCACACTCAAATCAAACACATTAAAAGACACATATCACACATTCATTAAAAAAATACACACATCACACACTCAATAAAACACACACACATATCACACGCCTATTAAAAACTCACACATACACATATCACACATCAATTAAAAACACACACATATCTCACACATTAAAAAACACACACACAGATATCACACACTCACTAAAACACACACACATATCACACACTCATTATAAAACACACACATATCACAAACTTAATGAAAACACACACACATATCACTCACTCATAAAACACACACACAGAGTGCAGGGGTCAGTAGTATGTAATGCACAGAGTGCAGGGATCAGTAGTCTGTAATGTACAGAATGCAGAGGTCCGGAGTAAGTAACGCACAGTTCACAGGGGTCAGGGGTACAAAGGGCACATAGGGTAGGATTATAAGTAATGCACAGAGCTGAAAGAGCGTCAGGCTGACAAAAACTACACTTCTATATGTAATTTGTCTTTTTAATACTTCATAAATTATTGTTATCATTGTTACTATGATGCAAATGACCAAAGCACTAGAATTTGTTTTTCTGAAATGAAATGGGTGCGGCCCTCAATAAATAGTTAGATTTAGGATATATTTCACTCAGTTCAGATCACGGTTTCATTTGATTTTGACATGCCTGTTCTACAGTGAGTGGAGTGGAATACTTTTAGCCATACTCGTGAAAACTGTTACATCACCTTACTAATATTAAACAATGCAAAAAGCAGAATAAAAATAAATTGGAATCCAAACCATGTTCCCTCAGATGATACACCAATATATGTGGTAAAGATGTGTATGTAGGTTTTACTTTCTATACAAGAGAGGACTACATACAGCTACATTGATTTAGATTTTTTTATTCTATTACTGTATATTACTGTGCTATCATGTAATACCACTGTATTCTTTTCTTTAGAGTGCTGTAAAGGTGGTTCTGTGGGCAGTCTAATAATGAGCCCTAATGGGGAGATTGTCTGCCTTTCCCTAATGGGATCAGCACGAGATACAGATATTGCCATCCGCTTTGACTTTATAGCCGAAGAAGATGAAGATGGTAAGCCATTGTTTAAAGAATGTGATCTTCATATATTATTTGCATTAGAATATTCTGTTGAATGCTTAATTACTTGATCATATTAGCCTATTAATGTATTTCCTACAGCACAGAAGGACAGACGTGCAACATGTCATCTTTAAAATGTGTGTTTAGGCTGGTGTTTTGGCCCCTTCTACTACTATTATCTCCCTATTGTCATAAAATCAGTTGAAATGCACTCTGACTGGAAATAATAGCAAAGAACAGAAAATCCTTTTGACTAATTACAATGAATATGAGGGAATCATTTTAGCTCAGTGTGTAGTGAGGAACTAAACTATGTGCTTTTGCAATGGTTTTTGTATTCTATTGCCTAGGAGTGAGAAAGAAGGGGGGTCAGCACAATGGAAGCTTGGAGGTTGCAAAGCCGCATGGGGGAGCCTGAAAGATACTAACTCTATGTGAAAATGGCACAAAACTTTTAAAGCCGAAAGCTGTGTGAATAGCCAAATGCTTGTTACTTTCTGCTCTGAGCAAATCTTCTCAATGGAAAATCAGGTCATATTATAACTGCATTTCATTACACGGCCTCTGCTAATACCCTCTTAAGCTTATAGATCTTTATCTTGAACATAAAGAAGTTTCAAGTATGTCCATAAAAGGTGTGGCTAGTTCTCATCATGTTCTGCCAGCCCAGAGATCCGGTCCAACAATCAGATCTACTGGTATAGGGACAGCTTTAGATACAACATGTCCAACATCTGGTAGAGAACAATTTTTACTGCAAGGCTTTTGCTTTAGTGTTTTGTCTTACAAGATCCTGATAGATGATGAAAAGCTTTTACATATGACATAATAGCTCTCACATGAAACATCTGCGTGTTTCTTGCAGTATTAAATCAAAACACAATAACAGAGGCCTCCTGTTATTAACAGTCACAAGAAAGTGAAATTTATTAATTCTTTGTATGTCAATTCTCTGAAACCTGTGTCCAATCCAATGTGCTGTTGGCCTTTGTGATAGTAGAGGGGTTAAGAGAAGAGAGGCGGGTTTTGGGGAGCTGCTGACAAGTACAGATGTAGAAACATGTGTGATCCATTTATAGAGCTCATTGGGTGGGCCAATACTGCTTCTTCTAGGGTAACCAAATTAACTCTTTCATCTGACATGTAGTGTAGTATTCGCACATTCTAAACAATTGCAAAAGAGCACATGAGCCAAACGGAAGCCATTTTGTTCAATATCAGCATACCTCTACAACCACAACAAATCTCTATTCATATACAACATTGTGTGCAGTCTAGACAGATTTTGACAGCCAACTGGAAACTGAAATATTATTAAGCAAGATTTCCTCCGGCACTTAAAGTCAAGAAAAAAAGAAAGGGGTTAGAAAATGAAGTCCCGTAGACTCTAAAGGGCTGTTGTGCAGTGAGTTGTTAATACTAATTACTGAGCCACTGGGGACATTATTTAAAACTGTCCTCATATTTTCAATGAGAAATTGAATAGACAGGCAGCCCCTCCTTCCCCACAAATTCCCACCAACCCCCAGTTTATTTCATCTACTCATCGGCTCCAGACTAAATCAATAGTCCACACTCACAGACTTGACTCCAGCATACTGTGATTGTCAGGAAGAAAAACAAACCTCGCTGACAAAGGTCTCAGCAGAGTGCAAAGAATACAAGACAAGGTGGATGTCAAACAGATGTCCAGTACTGTTGACAGGGAAATAAAAAACAAAAATATTCAAGAGCTTTTATGAATAATAAAATCATTTTGGCATTCTATGATTTAGGGCAGAGTGGCCAATCATGGCTGGTTGTAGCATGTGATGCAACAGATGTAAGGATCATTTGTTATGATCAGGCAGTGTATGGAGATACTCGTCATGTTTTGGAGGATCTAGTTCTCATAAATTAAGATTTTTCAACATCCTGCGAAATCCCTGAAACTAGCATTTGCTCCCTTTGCTGGCTGTGTGCCACCTCTAAATGTCAGACCAATTAGAGAGAAAAGTTGCAGTGAAACTTGGCAGGCCTGCAGTCTAGAGAAGGACAGGCAAGTATATCAAATGCTGTTGTACATGTGCCATATCAGTCCTTCATTCTCCACAAGATAGCTGTTTGTGTATACACGCCCTTAAAAATTGGCTTACTTTTGTTAAATAGTGAAGTGACACTAAACTCAGGAGTTAAATCTTAAAATGCATTTAAGTACCTTAACTATTAGCAAACAATGTATCTTATTTGTGTATCACTCAGCTGTAGATCCTCATATCTGTCAATCCCTACACTGGCTTCCTATAGCCCAAAGGATAAAATTCAAAATATTAACAACCGCGTACAAAGCCATCCACAACTCTGGCCACGGCTATATCTCCAACCTGGTCTCAAAGTATTACCCTAAGCGTCCCCTCCGCTCTTCACAAGACCTCCTGCTTTCCAGCTTCGTCATCAACTCCTCCCATGCTCGCCTCCAGGACTTCACTAGAGTGTCTCCCATTCTATAGAACTCTCTACCCCAACCTGTCCGTCTATCTCCCACACTGACTGCCTTTAGGCGATCCCTTAAGACTCATCTCTTCAGGGAAGCCTATCCCACCTCAACCTAACCACTGAACAATCACTTTCTCAAACAATCATCCCCGCGCAGCTACCTCCTCATGTATCACTTGCCCCTCCCTTTTAGATTGTAAGCCCTCACAGGCAGGGCCCTCCTTACCATCTTGTCTTAAATTGTATTGTGACTGTAATGTCTTCCTTATATTGTAAAGCGCTGTGCAAACTATTGGCGCTATATAAATCCTGTATAATAATAATAATATCATCTCTGAATGCGTGCTGACACTGTCCTTCCTTCTGGACGGTGGCTGCTTTTGTTCCCCATGGTCCCTGTGTGTGTTGTAAAGTAGCCAAGCTCGTTCCCATGATGGACTACATTCTCACGTTTAATTTACGAAGTTGTACTGAGAATGTAGTTCATCACAGGAGCAAGCTTGGAGTGGTGGCTACTTTACAACACACACAAAGACCATGGGGAACTAAAGTAGCCACCCTCTAGTTGGAAGGACAGTGTCAGCATGAATTCAAGATGATTTGAGGATCTACAGCCGAGTAATATACAAATCAAATAAATGTTTGTTAATAGTGAAGGTACTTGAATGCATTTTTAAGATTTACCTAGCTGTAGTTTGTTAGGTTGAGTCACCTAGTGATTTTTTTTTATATCTCTTCAGGACTTTAGCAGCAAGATCACCTTAATTCCAGGCCTTGTTCTGGCTATCTTTGAGGTCTGCCTGTTTTTTCCCCTTTCAGTGCATGCTCAGTGAAAAGATAGTTCATTTTTCTTTTGACCACATGGAGCACACAACACATTTTACAGCCCGTCAATTACATAGTTAGTGTACACTGAGTAGACAAGCCCATTAATGGCACATACAACACATGTGCCAACACTCAGCCCTTCAGATTAAACAGAGAACCTGTCCAATACGTTTCTTAATTTTAAGAGGTCTGTGTTGCATACATTTGCAGAGACAATATATTTGGAAGCTATATATCAGGTCAGCCAGCTTGTGCAATCTAACTCTAATTATGAGAAGGCTAAGAATAGAACTGTATATTACAATAATACATAGAAACTGAGAATGCTTATAAAATATGACCTGTCTGTGATGCATGCACAATAAACAACCAGAATTTGCAAAACAAAGCTGCAGATTTCTCATGTACGTGCATCAAAGATATGAAGTCCTTCAGAGCTTAGTTGTGTTGCTTCCAAACACACATTTGATTCCAAACACAACCTTAATTTTATGAATCTCCTATTAAATTATATGAATCATGGGAAGATTTACGTAAGTGCTAGCTTTAGAGCTATAGCTGGCACTACAAACCACAACAACCCACAGCTTTCAGCAATTGATGGAATTGAACCGTTAACTACCTGTAGTGTCAAGGATTACTTGTTAGATAATAGAATGTATGTCAGTCAGTATAAAAGAAGGGTTTTTAAAGGCTGTTACGTTAATGGTCTCATTTGCAGACCACTGATTACTGTTAGGTGTAATAAACTCAAATGTATTTTATGGCACTTGTCAATTGACATCACTGTGCTAGCTAACAAGTCTATATTTACCATGTACACAAAAAGGTTTCTATATGCAGTGGTATGCTTTTTTTTTTTTACTTTTCTAACCTAATTTATTAATTCAGTTTTTGTTATGTAGCACCCATATATTTTTACTTGAGAAAGAACACCTGAAGAAAAGACCTGCAAGAATTGGGTGCATAATTACTAAACCACAAGAAAAAAGTTATGAACTGAAATGGGTGAACTGACAGGCACAGTGATCCTGTAATCCATTTCGGTAATGCAAAATTCCTGCCGAAGTGCACAAGATGCTTCTATTACCGTTATTAGCCAGAAAAGCCTCTTCTGTATCCCTCTACAATTTTGTTTCACTGTATTCATAAGGCCTGGATTTCCTTGGCTTCCTGGCTAATCTCCACCAATACCATCTCCCTATCTAATGGCAGTGCCCTTACTTTCTTATTGGACAGTGTGATGTGAGTTGCTAGAGCTTAGCTGTGAAAAAAGTGATGCCCCAATAACAAAGTGAAAAATATATCAAAGTGAAGCACAGAGGAGGTTTTGCTAGCTAAAATAGGTTTAAATAGTTACAGGTTCAAGGAGGATCAAGCCATTTTACCCTGCAAATGACTGGGCCATGTATGATGCCCCAGAATTCAAATTTAAGAAACATCTGCTTGGAAATGAACCATATTATGGAATTAAAGATATTATTGGAAGATGGAAGATATTGTTGTACAAGGGCCATATCAGTATAAGTATTTATACAATACCATCTATTGTACCCTCCACGATCTAGCTGTATACATGAGTGAATGCTCAGACTCTCTTTGGTGGCCTGTTTTGCCCATAAATTTCATGCATTCAGATTTCTCAGTATTGCATTGCTGCAATCAGAGAAATACATTTTTAAATTGCTTTGTAAACTTGTGGTTAACAAAATGCATGAAAAGATGTAATCAGTGGATGCAATTAAAATCACTCTTTTAACAAATGCAAAAAGCTGAATTAAAACAATTTGATTCTGTGTACAGAAACTATTTATAGACCCAATTTCACAGAGGTACAATGATCCACATATGGCCGGCTTTGAACATTGTCATTTCTTTTTACGACGGGTTTATTGAGAGAAAAACACATAAAGCATCACAGGTCAAAACATATGACTAAGAATGAGACACGGTTTCCATTAATACGGATGATAGAACATACAGTAAACTGAGTAGTACTGGGTTGCCAGTTAAGAACTTTGTATTTTCATTCAACCCAACACTGTGGAGCCTTCTGGAAGCTTGTGAGACCAGAACTTATGTGCACTGAGCATTAATTGTTCAAAATGTGTAATCAGTGTTACATGAATGATGTCAGTTCCGTGTGAGTTTAATTAAGATGTTTTCCATTAAAAACACATCTTATCTGTGTGCATTCTAGATTGCCCCCCAGTGGAATCTGTAGCTCAGGAAGAACAATGGTCTGGCAGCCAACAGGATTCAGAGAAAGGTAAGTGAGTATCAGAAAAGTGGTTTCAACCATTGATTACTGGTGAGGCTGACACAATGACACATTGTTTATGAGTGCTCTACTATTTGATAACACATTTGTGAGTTTAATGCAGTAAATCTACTCAGTTGTGTAATTGCTATTAAGTCAATGACTTGGTTACTGGTTAAAGTGTGAAGTGGTGGCTAATAAAATATATAGCAAAGATATGCAGTGGCCTGTGCTTTCAAGTTCTATACAGTATTTTTCCATCTGGTAATATCTACTTTGAGAGCATTTTTTATTGTGCCAGAGCTCCACTCTTCTGGTTTTGGTTTGATACCATAATTTCTATGGAAATGTTTCTTCTTTCTGTGTTCAGTGTTGATGTTTGCTTGGTGTTATGTAAGGTCCTCTTTGAATACAAAAGAGCTCAGTAGTTACACTGCTAACCCAATATAAAGTGAAAAACATGTGTGGATCTGGAGAACAATATCCAGGATACAAAAGGTTGTTGGACTCAGTATTCTGCCTTATGGTGTATATCAGTCTTGAGCATTTAAGATGGAAATGGATACATGGTTATATGTTCCTATTGTTTTTTATACTAGCAGTGCTTGGCAGCTATGGATTTATTGTACTGTGGGCTCCAGGCTGCTTTCAGTTCATGGGCCACCACCAGTTAATAAATATAAATGGATAACATTTCTGATATGGGTTTGTAAATATTGAACTGGATCTTGGGAAGTGGTATATTCATTGAAATTAACTCATTTGATGGTGGAAGATACTATTAAATCAATGCTTCTTGGTACATGGAGATGGGTATGGATTGCCTATGACAATTTTATAACCTTAACGGAAACCTTTATTGAGAACAATACAACATTTTCCATCGCTGATCACCTTTTGAAAAAAAAGTCTAAAGACTCGCAAAGATAAAAGTGATTTACAGAACTGCAATATGTAGAAATTCCCCATGGGCCTCTGCCACTGAGGCTTGGTCTTACCACGTTACCCATGCTGCAGTGTACCATCCAGCAACCTGGAATTCTGGGAAAACATCTAATCCTAAAACGGCAGTTCTGCAGGCCACTTATTCCTGTCAAAGTCCATTTGCATACCTCTTTAGAATTAATGATTGAGGGGAAATGTCATACCTATTCACACTTAACCATTCTACTGCATGTTCATGTATTTCCATTATACTTTCCACCAATTCTTTGGGTTATTGCTTAGTGCATTTTTTAAACATTGAATAAGTAGCATTTTGCATGTAGGCATGCATTAAGTATGCTCCTTGAAACAAAGGTAAATATACAAAAGCACATTGCATGCAGTTTTTATGGGTTTCCATGCTGTTTTTCATGGAAATTCTTCTTTTCTGAATATTTCTTTCTTCACTTTGCACAATGCACAAGCAGATACAAAGCTTAAAGCTCAACTCCAGACTCAATCCAGACCTCCTTCCCCGACTGGCATTCCCCCTGGCAGTATGTTATTTTTTTTAGACTTACCATTTCTAGGTGTTCAGGTGGTCTTCAGGCCAGTCACATGATGCTTTGGGTTCGCTTCTTCTTAACCTTTTCTCCAATGCTGAGTGGTCTAGCATTAAGGAGAGAGTAGCAATGGTGTGATAATGTCAGCACCCCTATCAGCCTCATTACACTGTTAGTGAAGGGTGCAATGATGACACCCCTTCAGGGGGCAGGTCCATGACACCCTGCACTCAAAGGATCTCCTCAGTTCTCCGGGTTAAATGAAGCTCAGCCTCATCCAACCCAGAAGACTAAGTACATCTTGTGACGCATAGGGATTACTGCAGGGGGCATTTCTGGATTAAAGGTGAGTATTGCAGCCTGGAATACTTTTTTTATTTTAAAGGAGTATATTTTTTTTTAAATTTCTCCCAGAGGCACTGTGGCCTACCATTATAAAAAATATGTGCTGCAGCACTTAATTATAGGTGCATCTGCACTTACAGTTCTTACTTACTTCTCCTGCAAAGTCCCAAAAATACCTGTTGAGGCTGCCAGTAAAGTCCACCTAATGCAGTGATAGGGTGGCAAAGATGCTGCAGTGCTTCTGAATGCCATTGCCATTGTCCTGTAGGATGTGCCTGTTTGCACTATAGGGGCGTCACTATCGGCATGATTCACAAGTTGATTACTAAGCCTGTAGCTTGTCAATAAATGCCTGGTCATACATAGTCCGATGCACTGCTTTCTGGATTGACAGTTGACGTTTTTTTACGAGGTTTTTGCATTACCTAATATCTGGATTTAGTATTTGTTTAGACTGTCATGGAGCTTTTAGCAGTACTACACAAATGCACATTAATGCACATTAATGCATACAGTTAGTGTAAATGGGGCCTAAACGTTCTGCAGTCTATGGGAGTATTTACGTGTATAGAGATGAGATCTCAGTTCATTAAATTATGTATTGTTTGTTACACACATCACTTGTGCTGATGTCTGTTATGCGCCGTGTATCTTGTTGTCTGGTTTTTTTTCTGGTCACATGACACTTTACAGGGAAGACATTGCTTTATTCATTGTCAGCAGTATTCCAGCAATTCAGAATCAAGAATATTGCTATGGTGCCCTGTGGTCATAACAGTGTATAACTAAATTAGGAGAACTCCAAATTCCATTGCATGTCTGGAAACAATAAGGCAGATGGTCATCCTGACATCATGGATCAGTGTTTCTTCCCTGTGATTTCAGGACAGCGTTTCCCCCATGCTGAAGTGATTATAGTTTGCTTTCCAGCAATAACTAATTGGCCCTCGTGCATTTGTTTAAATAAAACTGCATTTAGCTCAATACATCCTCTGCTTTGTCACTTGGGCTCAGAGGTGGATTTACTGCATTCCATGGAACTGGCATGTTTAACTCATTGAGCTCCATGTATCAGAGTTTCAGTGCTTTAAACAGCCATTATTTAACCATAACTACTGTTCAAATACAAACCTGCCCTGGAAAATGACAATTAGAATCCAAAGGTTTGAATGTGGTAGTTGTGGGGACATAACACCAACTTTTTGTACTGACACTTTGATACATGAGGCCATTTGTGTCCTGGAATTCTCCCTTCTCCCTTTTGTAACTTCCCAGGGTTTAAATTGTTGCTTTATTTCTTAGCTTTAATCCTTGCCACCATATTTTAGGATGTTCATATCATCTGTTAATGATTTTGTGAACTATATTGTACCTGCATAATTATTAAAGTCTTTCTTCTTGTTGTCAAGATAAGTTAGATGATATTTGTTTTCATTATAGTGCTGACCGCTGTTTGATGTAGAGTATACAGATATTGGAATGCCTCCATTTATTTTAAAAACGATTTACTGAAAATGTAGGATCTTGCATTAAAGGAGAACTATGAGGTGTGATTTCCACTCATCCTGTCAGAGGTCGGCTCTATCAATCGGGAAGTGAGCAGAAACATGCAGCCGATCCGCTTACTTCCCGATCGTCTCCCTGCAGTGAGCGTTGACAGTCAGTCACCGCTCACCGCAGGGATTCCCCCCTCCCCTCTACGATCCTCCAGCGCTGAGTGGAGAAACAAGGGGGCGGGCACAGCTAGCTCTGCCTCTGGATAGGCAGAGCCAGCCTTCACTCACGCATCTGGGTGGATCCAAACAGTATTGTTGGGATCCGTCCCGGCTGTGGTGCTCTCAGTATATCGCTGGCTATGAGCTTTGGATCACGGGAGGAGATTAATATACAGTATGTCCTCCCGTGACCCTAAAGAGAACTGTTGAGAAAAACACTTACCCCCATAGTTCTCTTTTAAGCCAGGCTTAAAGTGGATCACACTTCACTTTAATCAATAGAACATATGCCAAAATTATCCACATTAAAATGACCCTGTCACTAAGGGGTCAAAACTGAAAGAAGAGGCAATATGCTTAATTTTTACAGTTTTTTTTTACTTACAGTCAACCAGAAAGGTAAGTACCCTTTTCTTTTACCACCATTCTTTCTTTCAGTTTCAACCCTATAGTGACAGGTTCACTTTAATATTTTGAGTGGAAAAGGACCTCTTTCTTTCAACTTATAAAAAACTGCTCATCTAACGAAAAATTAGATGCCGGAACATCAGTCCAGATCAAATGGCTGATAACTACAAGAAAAGCACTTACCTTATCTAACTGTCCTCCAGGCTGGAACACCATGCAGCAGGGGTGTGTATTCAGGAAGCAGCTCTCTGGGTGCTCCCGGCCGAGGTACAATTACGGTGTGCGGCTCTCTGCCTCACTTGCAGGATGGCAAGGCGGATGGCGCCCCCCACCATTCATTCCCCTGCCTTCCACTGGTACTATGGGGGCCCCCTCTCCTCCTCTCCTTGCGCGCTGGCTTGGTCCCGCACCGGCGGTACACTGAGAGTTTGTTGTTTTTTATTCAGTCAGATCATGTCTGGTAGACCTGCAGTGACATAAGAGGTTTAAAAACTACAAAACAGGAAGCAAAAACCTGCATGTGGAAAATATGGCTGCTCCCATGTATGTATACATTTACAAACCATACACACCAATGTTTTTAATACATAAACCCACATTGTTAAAAATATTTGCATTAAACTGACTTTTTTATTTCTAAAATCATTTAAAAAGACCATAGTTTCCTTTTAATAGAAAACTCTCTGAAAAACACAAATGTGGCAATGAACATGTAAAGTGAAAAGCTGATTGCCTATTAGTATACATCTACTATTTCAGAATTTGATCAGCAGGGCAAGAGCAGGGGGTGAGTTCCTAATAAAAGTGCTTTAGCCCTGTTTAAAATAACAAATAATTTCAAAAGATTTTAAATAATTTGTTTGAGTCCAGCTCAGCAACCAGAGTGGCAGCAATTTATGTGGAAGCTGCCAGTGGTCCATGCAGCAGTAGTTGAGAAATACGGCCTAGCTGTCAGATTTTTTGCCAGATTACTTAATCCTCCTGTCCCATCGCACTCCTGACCGGACAAAAACCCAAATCCAACTGGGTGAAATGTGGATTGATGAAAGTAGTC